TTTGAACAATGAACTCTCAGCCTTACAGAAATTAAAAAAAGTTCACAAGTCAACTAGTCATTAGTAGGCCTAATAACTTAAATAAAACAGCATGTAATTTGAGCGGAAACACCAAGCTGTGCTGTTCCCTTTAACTCATTTCTTTTTTTAAAGTTTCACTCTCTTTACTGATGCATTCATGGGTCTTCGTCTAATTTCCTTCCAAGACAGATCACTTTACTTTAGCACCTTTTTTTCAATCTCAGTGCCGTTTGGCATCTCTTTCTACGGGGAAACAGATCTCTCCTATGTGTGTGTTTAGAAAGTGAGCCGGGTAAACAAGCTTTGGCTCGGCGAGTAGAATATCCCGATTGCACGCTCGGGCCTGCTGACGTCTGGCATTGGCCGCACGGCACGTGCCCTAATGACGTTATAACGAAGCCAGCAACCTGTGATCAGGAGAGGGGAGAACAGATTTGCCCTGAGCTCACAAATTGGTCTTTACCATTGGTCAATATTGACACTAACCGATAATTACGGGTAATAAATTTCGATTTACACGCGCGCGTCTGCGTGCTAGTCTCTCCCTCTCTCTGTTGTCGGGTATTATGCAGTGTCACGGGCCCGGCCGACACACTCGGCCGTGTTTTGATTCACCGCATCCAACCGCGCCTTGCTTCGTCATGCATTCGTCATCGTACGCCAACGTTCGGTATTCGAGTCATGCAAACGAAAGAAAGATGAACTGCTTTTCTGGAGCTGAAAATCAGACGACAAAATCGGAGGTGTCAAATGCTTGCAACCCAACCGGACGTGTAAAATGTCATTGGGAGTCGGGTGTCTTCATCGGCGAAGCCACGGGTGTGCTGTGTAGCAGCAAGCATCAGGGTCCAACTTCATGGCCACACTTTAAAGAGAGAAAGTAAAATGCTTATTTAAAATGTGCTAAGTATAATTCAGACGATAATCAGTTATTGATCATAATGGATGGTGACTGTTTTCGCTAAGCAAATACTTCTTGTGCTAAGCAGCGCTAAAAATTTGGTTAGATCAGATTCTTACCACTGAGCTGTCGGTATAGTGAGCCCCCCTGCCCGGTCGAGACGTCATATCTTGGAATACCAATTATAGCATGTACAAAATGTCCAACTCCGACAAGAACAAATAAGCCGGGGATGATAAATTATTCCTCAAACACGCCCGTGTTTATTTCTGTTGCCCGTTGGTGCTACAGTTTGCTTTGGCCCGGCATCTCCTTCGAGTGTAAATACACGGGTCGTCCGTGGGTATAGGGCTTGGCATCAACCCCGTCACGCTGATGCTGGGTCGGACACCGTGTCGAGTCGTTGTCTCTATTTGGTCCCCCCCCCCCACCCTCTTCACTCTGACAAAACTGACCGGACAAAATTAATCACTCTCCGTGTGGCGAAAGGGTGACACTTTCGGAAACATTTAGTTACTTTGATTGATTTTAAGGGATGGGTTGCTCCGCGAGCCCCAACGAAAACAGTGAGGGCGTTCTAGGTTCGGGTCGATATATAGAGCACTGTGCAGACCGTACCAGACCTTTCTTTTTTGCTGAAAGTATACCAGAAATTCCCCTGACCCATATTAATGTTTCAATATTACGACTTTGCCATTCGCACGATATCCTGGTCTTCTAAAATGTGACTTTTTTTTAGTAAGAGCCAGGCAGTCGTGTTTACACATCTCTGTCAGACAAATTTCCACTTGGAGAATGTTAAGTGTGGCTATTGAAGAGAGTCTTTTGTCTGAGGGAAGACAGATATGACTCGTGTACCATATACGTCAAAATCTGGGCAATTTGTGTCGCAACAAGCAAAAGAGTTCCATTGTACATCTCTTTCATCGTTAGCTTTCTAAGGCAGTCAATAATCTGGTTGAATGAAATGGGGCCATGAACCAAACATGCAGACAATTCGATCTGTTTATGCACTCGCCTATCTGTAGCTGTGTATACAGCTAAACACGCAACCTTTTTGGAGCAGTCTCCGAGCCGCCTATATACACACATGTTGGAAGGCTGAAACAATGTTTAGTCGGCGAAAAATTTGCGAGGAAATTCCACACACCGAAAACCCGTCTGTGACATTGATAGCTCGCATACACGCCAGATGGAGACAAACTTGCTCCACGATTTCAATATTTCAACCCAGTTCTGCCCATGATTCGTCAACGACGACACCGACTACATCAAGTTCAGACACGTCTTTTTGACGACAACCGTTACAAAATAACCCCGCCGATTCTAATGATGCAAATACTTGCAATTGCATTACATATCTTAAAACTTAACTTTAATTGAGTAAACCAAGCCTATCCCATTTGACTCAACTCAATTTCGCGAAAACGTTTTTTTCCCTTCATATACACACGATATTGTGGACACTTGTTCCTGCATCAGTACAATGATATTTTGTCACACATTTCCCCTTTTCTCGCTTATTTTGCCATCTCTGTTGTGTATAAAGAACATGAAACCTGGCTTGACTCAAAATCAAGAAAACTGTGACTGCTGAAAAAAAAAACCTTGTCCAAACTTGTATGAGATCATTTATGTGGAGCAAAATAATTATTTTGTCGGAAAGAATAGTCCAAACAATGATTGTGGTAACAAAACGGGCACAGTTGCAACGACTCTTTTTTTTTTAAACCTTCGCTCGCAAAAGTTGGCCATTTGTGTCTAGTTCCCTGAATGCATTTCATTAATTGTTAACTGTTGAATGGGATGGCGCCAGACTTTTTATGCAGGGACAATGCAGCCTTATTTTACTGTCATTTTATTTCTTTTGATCTGGCTTTAAACATTAGGGAATGTTTAATTACACATTTTAAATTATTCATTGATGCAGACTGGAATTAATTAGAAACTAACTCACTTTCATTTCTCTTCACAAGTTCCAAAAATGAAGATTTTATCTCACTTTCAATTCAATATGGCCGACTCGTGAATTAGGCCCATAGTGGCAGCACATTCATTGAACAAACATATTGGTCTCATTGCTGGGACCAATACAGTCGCGGACATATTCACAAAATAAAAATCACACAGATATTTGAGTATCTAAATCGGGTTGAGTGGCTAAAACAGCAAATAATATCACGCACTTCAAATGTATTGTGACTGTTTCTCCATAATTTTTTAAGCAAAATGGCTATTTTTGCCCTAAGCAGTTTCAAGAATCATTGGCCTCTGATTATTAAGAAAAAAGAAAAGAATTTATCGTTGGTGTTCGCAGCCATTGTCTACTTATTTCCAACATCATGCTGCCATACATGTACCGAAAAAGAGTTCTCCTTGACAGTCCAGACCATTAAAATTTGTAAACAAAAACCCATTCAATTTTTGGTTTAAAAAAGGAGTAAAATATACTTGAAAAATCAGTTGTGACTGTGGAGGTATAAAAAAAAGAGAAACAGATTTTTTAAGCCCGATTTGATGCCTCGCCGCGGGTGAACGAACGTTACAAGTCCGCAGTAGCCGCCTTCTGTCATCGCGTTCGCCCAGAAGCGACGGGGCAAAACCGCGACGCGCGGTGGCCTCGACAAAACGGGCGGCGTTATACCGGGACTGTATAGTATTTCCCGAACAAATAAATACGGCTAGTCAAAAAGGAATTTCCAAAAAAAAAGGAGGAAAATGATGTCCTGTGTTCACTGACAACAGTTTGGAATACTGTTGCAGAACTGTGAAAAGAAAACAAAATATCACAAGAAGTAACGGACTGAAATGGAAATATGCATGGGTTGAAATTTCCATAAAAGATTGTTTACAAGTGGACAATGAAATTATACATTTACCAGAAGTCATTGTTCCTTTTGTCAGTTCTTATGGTAGATTCCTATTCAGTTGATTGAAAGAGACCTTATCTTTGAGACTTAGTCCCTTTTCTTGTTTATTTTCGCAATGGTGTGCAGTTTACTCATTGTGGTTTGTGGACAATGACTTTCATGAAAACTGAATACATTTAAACAATTGTTGCTGAACTTCTTTCCCGGCCAGAATATATCCACTGCCAACACTTTTGGGCAAGTGTGGTTGAGATTTTACCCTTAGAGTAAACGTTTTGGTTTAATTTCAATACCGTCGGATGTCTTTCGATTTGTACATCCACCCATGTAATGTATATTACGTTGACATTGTGCAGATTATATCCTACCGTTACCATTCAGTTGATATTATCAAAGGCATTTTTGCATGATTTGCTTTTGTTTTTAAAGGGAATATACAACATTTGCAAACATCGAAAAATAAAACTACCAAGTTTTTGCGAAATACCTTAATAGGATGTTGGTAAATGACAGTCTAAAGCATCCTGTAAAATTATGGCACCTGGTATACTGTCATTTTCAAGAAAAGTGGTATTTTTGTATCAATTTCCAACGCTGATCGGCCGATCAGCGTTGGAAACAACTGGCTTTTTTTCAAATACTGGCCCCAATTGACCATTGCACTTGTTTGCAATCGATTACAAACCCATGAACGGGTACGAGCCAGCTAGACTGGTTCCCTGACCTTACAATTCCCCAAGAAATGTTAACTGCTCTGTTTCTTCTTATATGGAGTCAGGGAACCAGACTACAGGAAAATGATCGTTTTTCTTGGTTTTAGTAGCATTTTCAAACCCAAAACCTCCAAAAAGTCAGTGTAACTATATTTGCTTTATATTTCCAACCCCCCAATTCCATCCATATCTGAAAATTACAGCAAAAGCAAATGATGTATATTCCCTTTAAAGTTTTGTGTTCATAGATGCTGGAAAAATCAGGAGAAAAAATGCTGTTCCTGTAGTCTGGTTCCTTGACCCTACTTTAGACGACTTGTCTGGTCAGGGAACCAGATTAGCTGGCTTGCACCCGTTCACGGATGTGTAACCGACTGCAAACAAAATGTGAAAAAAAACCCTAAATTTGGTAAATTGGGGACAGCATTTGAAAAAAAGTCAGTTTTTCTACTTTTCTTGAAAATGACAGCACGCCAAGTGTCATGATTTCACAGGATGATTGAGACTATCATTCACGTACAATCAAGTAAGGTATTTCAAAATTATTTCGTAGTTTTGTTTTTTGATGTTTGCAAATGTGGAATATTACCTTTAAGCTAAACTTATTCCCATATATAATGTTCGTCACCTCAGCCCGGCCCGTCCGTCACAGCTGTGTGGATTTTGACAACGATTTGCCAATAAACACGCCGGTAAACCGTGTAAGGAAAGGTTTTGCATGCCGCCCGTTTCGGAACTCAACGGCATGTGTTGTTTTTGTTGGGAGTGCGTGTCATCGAGTGACGAGAGTATGGGGCTTGGAGTTTCTGTCAGGACACGGCTGATACTAAGAAAATCTAGCCATCTATCCCCTATATATACCCTTCCTCTATATACATGTATAATAAAGACAATTATGTGCCCATCGCGTGGATGGAGTTTTAATTGTGCTACATTTGGGCGTTATAGTGGACTTAGTCTTGATCCCGATTTTCTCGAATTGAGTTGGGCTTTGCTGTCACTCCCACACAGTTTTGTTGATCTTCAACAGTAGGTTTGTCGCATGCTAAAAAAAAACGAGGCTGAAAGAGCGACCGAAGCCTATAGCTTAATGTACGACGGCAGTATTTTAGGGGATGTATAGTCAGTTGTTAGTAATATTATGTCTTTGGACTATAATCACTGTATGGTTTAGTTATGTAATGATGGCCATCCATAATGTTTTCATTCCACTTGTGAACAATACGGAAATGACGTAGTGAAAGGGAATTGTAGTCGATCGTTCAGCTTTGCTTGATACCTCCATTATCGTAGATTTTGCCGAACATTCAACACTATTTTTGAATGTTTCGCCTTTGCACCCAGTTAAAAAACTTAATGCTTAGTCTTGTCTGGCTGTGTTTATAGCCAAATCACATTAAAGTATGTTACGAGTGCAAGTCAAAAATACAGAGGTTATCGTAGCCACCAAATCCCGATTCGGCGTGCGCCTGATTGAAGCATCGAAATAATGATCGAATATTCTTCAGAACAAAATACTATAAATGAACATTCTAAAATACCATCTGCTGAACAACATGTCTCCTTTTGGACTTGCCGTTCACAAAGAATCGAATAATTATACATGCACACCAACAGTTTCAGAAATTAAAACCTAATTGATTTCAGTTCTTTTTGCCTTCTGTGTTTTCGGTACCTTTAGTAGGGCATATACCAATGATTGAACTTGGCCCAAACACACCGACTGTCTCTCATGATTACATGACTTTGCTTAGGATAAAGAACTCAACGAAACTTGAGTGTGCCTCCCGGTACGACCATTGTACCCCGCTGCCGGGAAACTTCGGGGGCTTGAAGTGCCAGCCGCGGAATACTTGAGCCGTGTACCCGCCCCTCAAAGTTCTCGCGAGGACGGAAGATCAATCCTTGTCCATGAAACGGAGTTTGTTTTGCTCTTATCTCGCGCAGATTGGATCATCTTGAACAGGTTGCCCTGTAATGGAGAATATAACGGTGGTCTGTCGTGGGAGGCCGAGGGGCCCGATCCGTGGTGGGAGCTGATCGTCCCTTGAGACGTTCCCCACAAAATGGCGACAGTTGCCGCTTGGTATAGCATATACCATTTGTTTCCCTTCTGAAATCACTGCTCTCCACTCCCAAATAACTTTCATCTGAAGAACTGAGACCCGTAAATTTATTCAGCAAACAAAATCCATAAAGTCTATAATGTATAGAAAGTAGGCCTAATTTGGTATGGGGGGATATTCATCATATGTACAGCTTTAAAAAAAAATGCAGGGCAAGGTAATATAGCGCCCTCATTATGTGCCAAAACAACAGATGCTGGTTTTGTAACTTCCCAGTCGTTGGTTCTGACTCACACCAATGTCACCATTGTTATGATTAACCTGCTTTGTTTTCTAGGATTATGTTTCTTCAGATCGGTCGCCCCGTGCAAAATAAAATTTGAAAAAAAGGATGAAAATCAATCAAATTGAAACTTCAAGATTGATCTTTTCATCGACTAAAAACAACTTATAGAGAGGAAAACTCTGTGCTCAAGACGCTGTCTTTGAACAAAACTCTTTGTTACCCAATGTCTGAATATTTTGTAAAGCTGCCTGACTTTATATTCAGGTTTTACACCAACTAATTTTTTTCTCCGTAACTCCTTCCCTTCCACCCAGGGCCTTTCCCGACCGGACTCTACGCCACATCAGCCGCTGAGAACACGGCCCTAGCGCACGCTCACTCGGTCTCCCTGGCGGACTTCACTCGACAGAGTATGCCTGGGAGTTGCGGCCTGAAGGATGTCATGTCTACCACGCCTAGCAACCTTCATCAGCACCACCAGCGATCTGATGGCAAGAGAATGGTGGGTTCATCCTTCTCGCTTTCACACCAGTCCCGTCCCTCTCTACCAAGCTGTACATCAAACCCTTGAAGCTCCGCTCTTCTAAAAAATTATACCAAAAAAATCTGCCAAAAACATATGAATGACTAACTTTGAAGGCATATAACCGCCTCACGGCATGATAGCCTTCGCCAGGCTCCCCTTTTTTTTTCTTGGGGAGGGGGGGGGGTGGCCATTATTCGATACCTGTTTTCGTATCTCTTACTGTAAAAGGACCTCATTCGATAAAAACAAAAAATACCAGGTAAACGTCTGTTGAATTAAATATTTTAAAGCCATATTATCCTGTTTATTTCATGTTACTTTTTTTCTGTATTCACTCGAGGAAATGTAGGTTTTTCTCGTCCGAATACAATAATTCTAAGCCATCTCTTTGCTTGCCCAACTGTGGCAAATCATGTATATACCTCATGGGAATTAAGAAAAAAACACCCCGAAATTTCACTCTATGACATTTACTCTGAAATGTATCGTGTGTTTACATACCACGATAAATGGGTTTTCGGCCGCTCTGTCAGAATAATCAAAACTCGTGCTTCCAAAGCAAATAATGCCAGAAATATGAATGCATTTTTTTCCAAATGTAATTTAGAGAATTGCACTCTTGTGTAAGCAAACTTCACATTAGGTTGCACTCTGCAACATCAGAGACGGGCATACTGCTATTCCCAGCGGGTTGAGGCCCGTACTTGTCAGTGCTAGACTAACACCTGATTCCGCGATCTAATAAGAAACAAAAAAATGAAGCTCTATATATTGCACTTTCTGTTGCGTATGCATTATGATATTGTTTGTGCTACAAAATTAATCCACTGTTATGATGGCTGTACACGTGGCAGCATGACAGGGGAGAGTTCCATATTATACTGTGTTATTTGTGCCTATTATAGATGAAATTGCATTCCTTATGTTGCGAACTGCAATCGTACGTTACGGGATCACGCCTCGTCTCTCATCAATTGGTTTAATCGGGAATGGTGTTTATAGTTCGGAAATGTTTTGAAAAAAGTAACAAATACCAAAAATATTTAGGGGCTTCTCTCGCTATAATATAGGTTCTTAACGTTGCGTTGGCTAAAAGATATATATCTGCAGCCATATCTGCAGCCGAATCGTCATTGTCCTGCAGATGACAGACAAAGACGTTGTTAAATGTAAACGAGTTCCAACACCTGTGATATTTTTTTTTAAATCTTTGTTCATCTTGTAATTCCTTTCAGTGTACCCTTAAGGAGACATTTTCGTCATAAGTTATACCTTAGGGAGACACCGGACATTAGGGAGACATTTCTCCTATGTAGAGTCTAAATTTTATCGTCGCAAATAGACTAGATCGATTGCTCATGGTCCAAAACATAAGTATGCCAGAATTCGTGAGGGTAGGAAATTGGGGTTAGCCGTCATTAAAGTTGGGAACGTTTTGTACACAACCCTATAGGATTGCCCCCTAAGGTATCATTCCCCGCAATAATAATTACATTAGTGAGAAATGTGGGAAGATAGATAAATGTAGGAAAATAGACTGAGATTGAGGCTATGCATGGTTTTAAAATCTTTGGGCACACCAGAGTCAGTCATGCTAGAAATTGCACTCATTCATATGAACGTTGTCGTATGAAACTATTATTTCTTCTTATGTTTGCTTTTTTTTTCCCGCCATGCAGTCTTTGCCCGACAGCACAGGACCCTCCGTCAGCAATTTCATGGTGGCATCGCCACCATCTTTGACGGCCTACCCGCATCACGCGGCCTCGGCCTACGTGCCCGCCTACGGCACCACGGCCATGCCCAGCAGCCTGTCCGCCCATCCGATGTGGCCGCCCAACGGGGCCATGAACTGCCCTGGGGATGCCGCCACGGCACTAGAGAGCAGCAACGTGCTACGGCCCTCACCGCTAGCCTACAAGTCGGTCTTATCGGGTACATCTTGCAATTCCAGTACTGGTACGTATTAAAAGAATGAAAGGTCACAATCTTGAGATCTAAAAGATCCGGAGGGGCGAAGTGGTGGGGTTATACCAGGGGACTCAGGTTGGTGGATAGTTGTGGTAGTTTCCTCACCTTCCGACTTACTGCCACCCGGGTTGACCCCACCCAAGACCGAAGGGTCACACGGTCCCTATCTGATACAGAAGGCTTGTCGTAGAATATTACCCCCGGATTTTCATTCCACCTCGGAAACTGAGCATTCTTCACTCTCCCCTTTGGTTTCTATATTAAGGAACCCCTTGCTGCAAAGCGAAAAGTTATGACAATGCACTGTCATGTCGGGATTAAAAGAAAGACCGAAATGACCACGACCCTCTCACAAGTCCTTCCAGTATACCACACTGACTTTCGAAAGATAATTTACTTCAACAAACCAGTATCTTCTTAAAAACTGTTCTGCCTATTAAATATTTTGCACACCTCAACATTTTTTTCAGGAATTTGGATAAAACTAATAATAGCCTGTTATTATTTTTTTTCAGTCCAAATGTTTAAAAGGGGAGTTTATTGGCTGATAAACGAACATAAGGGATAAGATATGTCCACCTCACAGTACTACTCTCCATGCGCTCTTTCCAATACTACAAAATGTGTGAACGATCGTACAACAGCGGCAGCCCAGACAAAAAGTTACTGAAGGAGCGTAAATAAAGGCCTGTAACAGAAAACATATTTGTTTTAACAATCCGTCATCGCCAGTGAAAGCAACGCCTTGTATAATCCAGCGTGTATAGAAGTTGTTTTGTTGCCTGTCAGTAAGAATGAGTTGAACCAAACATTCTCAATATGAACCCTCGCTGACGCTCCCAATACTTTTAATCCAACCCTCCCCCCTCCAATTCAGCCTGCCGCGCGTAAAACTTGATCCCGCGTAAATTATAAAGACACCCGTTCACTTGGGTAACCAGAGCCCGGCCGCTTGATGAATCTGACGGGCCTATCACTCGTCGTAGACGCCGCTGTCTCGATCCGGATCTCGTGAAAGGCCTTTAAAAATAACCCCGACACCTAATTGTGACGACGAGAGGGCGTCCCAGCGGTAAGGCAATGACCGGCAGCGCGGCAAGTAACACATCTTTTTGCAATCACCTGTGTGATGTGTTTCATGGACCGGAATGATATCAAAGGTCGACCTCGCTGGAATTTTTGTGCTGTTCCAATAAAACTGGGGGGAAGTATCGACATGGTAAGAGCGTGGTTATCGACCTGCCTGTCGGGCGTGTTAGGTCAGGGGTCATGGGTTACGCGAGGTTGATGTCATCTTTGCTGATGACACGTGACGCGGGTCATCTCTGCCAGCTTCGAGTGGGTCTCTCTCTCTCTAGCTATGGCCCTGTCCAATGTGCACAATCTGCTCCATTACTACACACCGGGGGACAAGTCTGGAACGGAGAGATGAATGATGGCCAGCATAATTGATACCGGTCCCTTCTTGTCTCTTTACAAGAAATATCGCTCACCTTTGTGACCCCCATCCATTTCGTGATTGTACTACAAAACAAATGTTTACGAAGACACAATTTGTAGGGTAAAGATGCGGGAGAGTTTGGCTTGCAGCCCCCCGCGTCATTAACCGTTCGGTCGTCTCCTCGAGTTTACATCCATCGCCGCCCCTCAGGAGAACTAAGGGTCAGGGGGAGGGTATAAGTACAAGAGGAGGGTTTGATTAATGCTACAAATAAATTATTCAAACTTTGGTTTACTTAACTTTCTTTCTTTATTTGTGTCTCCCTACATGCAGTGTCTGATACGGTCAAGCATCCCAGCTCACCGGTAGGTGCAATGAGGATTGTACAAACGTGAACTCTGGAGGGCGACATTTACCCTCACCTGTCGGTGTCTCCAGCATGCATGCAGCAGCACCACCAGCAGTGGTTCAGTCATCCGGAGGCAGAGACCCATTCTAATTGTCAATCAGAAAGCCTGGAAGCCATGCAAGAGTATTGGTGATTCGGTGTTTTATAAGAATGTGCTATACGAGGAGAGTCGTCATTTTATATCAAGCTGGTTGACTTGCTCTCTACAAGGAGATCACAAAAAGCCAGGGACATCTGGACCGATTTTACGCATACAAAAGAAAACCACGCAGTATTTTGCTTATTAATCTGTGGAGTGATGACCCAGGAACCTTTACACAGTTGTATATTTTGAAAGGGGCTGTATTTTTTTCTCTCCGTCGGTGAATGGACAGTTAAAAATGGATTTTATGTACAGGTTGATAGACTGCATGTTAGAATATTCAAGATTCAGGCGATAGATCAAAAGCTCGTAAACTTTCGAGTACAGCCGACAAACCGGTACTCCACGTCCGAAGCCACTTCGAACCGTCACACAAAAGACTACAAATGATTCACTGGCAGTGTTTGGACGAACGTTCGAGTCGCCAACAATCGCGTTTAATCTAGGGGACTCCTCATCCGTTGCATGCTTTTGTTAGCAGAATAAGTATTGTTTTATAATTGGAGGGCGACAGTTGTTTAATGGGTAACAGTTGGAGTTATCCGGTGGACCCTCTTGGTTTCATTAGGAGGTGCATATTCAACACAGGGAGGGGATTGTTGTTTCTTCACCACTAGGATTTTTTTGTTGACAACCATAACAAGACAGGTCATCGTGCACACTAGACTTGTTCATGGCTTGCATAATGATACCTGCGGCAGACAATGTGTACATAATAATGTATCTGCTGCCCCCACGAATTCCAAATGGCTAGGACAATCATAGTAGGGTCTTGTATTCAGTAAGGCCATGGATCCTACTTGTGCCCGTCACGGCAACAAACTTTGCCACTCTTAAATTCAGTCTCCAATCTCCAATCTCACTTTTGTTTGTAAGCTTTTTTATGACTGTTTAGGCTATCATATCACTGTTATTGGTGTTCATTGAGGAAGTTGTGCAAGGACAAAGTCGTGTTGCACGGTCCCAGTTTGTGTTAACTTGTGTAAAACTTGTATTCGTATATAAACAAAATGCAAATTGTAAATTTAAACGGATGCTTTGGGGAACTTCTTATATAATAGCTGAACAAAGTCTTGTCTGATTTACCATTGTTTCTGGCCCATAAGCATTGGAGGTCAGATGGTGATCCTTCTGATCCCTTCCTTCTTCGTAGCATGTAGCATCGAGTCCACTGTCTTGGAAACAATGACTACATGCTGTTACATTTTTTGTTAGTTCTGAACCCCAGCTCTTAAAATTACCTATAAAGCATCGATATCAGACTCATTGTCGGTGGTTTGGAGGGGGGGGGGCACATATTTGGCTGGTATTTTTTGGCTGGGGACATCAATTGCAATGTTCCCCATTTAGCCTTCAAAGTACCTGATTTGACTAAAACCTAAATGTTTACACAATTTTGCACAGCGTAATAAACAGCCGTGCGATATTGGTTAACATAAAATTACGTGAAATGGGCGTGCAATTCGGACAATGAACAAATACATATCCTAAAAGCGCTACCTCGAGATTGATAATGTCCTGTTCCCTCCCACTCCTATAATTTCATGTAGACATGTCTAATTGACGTCACGCTTTGTTTACATGTGCGTTTTGCTATGGGAGCTTTGTGGCTCTCGTCCCCACCTGGCTCCCATAGGAAAGCGCACATGTAAACAAAGCATAACGTCATAATGTCTTAGGTCTATTTGTGCTCTCCTTTTGCCGAAAACGTCACATAAACCCTAAGATATTCTCTATATATTTACGGGTAAAAGCATACGTACCGCTGTACACAACTCAAACTGAACTTGAATTTTTTATTTTTTTTTTAAAGAAAAGTTATACTGTAATATCACTGTGTATTTAAGCAGTCTTGGTTACAATTGTTGGCCTTGTTTGGTACAAAAAACGTTATGTAAATAAACGAATAAATGTTTACAACTGGTCCAGCTCTCGTCAAGCAAATATGAGTTTCACAAGGTTGTTTTTGACGTCGTAACAAGAGTTAATGTTCACATGGGACTCACGTGACTGTAAGTAAACTTTCTTAATAAATACGTAATGAACACGCCATCATCGACACAGTAGCGAAATTGACACCCTCAAAATCTGAATTGCTAAATATGTAAAATCACCAAAATAATAGTTTGAAGAACAAGTCATTTCCTCCGTAATCAATTAATTGAATGGCAGTGCTGTAAAATGTATTTAATGTTTTTTGTGTTTTTTTAAATTAGCGAAAGTCTTGAGTAAGCTCTAAAACACTGTTGCGGTTTCAGAAAATCTACCAGGGTCCTTGCCCATTTTATGATGCAAAACTTATATTAGCAAGGTTAACACCATTCACAGAGAAAGACTTTACGCAAATAACACGTGTAGCTTGGGTAAAAAAAACCCGACAGTCTTAAAATTCAGAAAAACTGATATTAACAAACAGCATTCAGTACATGTTCTCCCACATTTTTCTCAGCCCAATAGCTGCGCGTTCGTTTACAGCGCCCTCTTTTGGCATTTATGAGACAATCTCACCATCTAGTCTTTGGGTGAAACCATGATCGATTCTTGCCTCACACATTTTTATGAAGCAGATACTGAATCGACAAACCTACATAGCTTTAGCATTGCATAAAAAAATACTGGCAAAACAACACCTAGTTTTCTTCTTTTATAAGATAAGGAAAGTCAGTAAAGGAATGTTTTACTGGCTTGCGCAGACAGAGGGCGCTGTTTACGAAAATGGCCCACGCCACTGAACACTTAGTGTTGGCGTTAGAAAAACGTTCCTTTTTTTACATGTAGAAAGGGGGAAAGATAAATATTAGATAATTGTCCTTCCGAAGAGCTGTTATTTTGACTAAATTACTACTAAAAACTACATTGACCATATTTCATGTAATTGATTTATTGATACTTTTTTGCAGACATATGCAATTTGTTGCACGCTCATCTTATCTTAACTTTTAACTTATAAAAAGGAGTAGAGAATTTCCTTATAATAATCATAATGCACTAGTGTGTATTCTTACAGTCTGTCATTACATATCACTTGAAAGTGACGATAGTCTGCCACGAGAGGGCGCTTTGCCGTGAACTTTAGCTGGGAAAACTTCACAGCACGCAAATCTCCAAAATAACATAACACAAATTTAAACAAGTCGGCATACTACATCGATAATTATATTAATGCGACATTGTAAATTATCTTGATATATAAATGTATTTATACAGAATCAAAAAAATTGTTGAAATTTCTTTCCCGGTTGAGTCCACGTTGTAGGCCTTTATAGTATTGAGACTTTTTTCCTTGCATTTTTATGTGTGCAACATTGTGTATATCAATATTATTGTGTTGCAATTTGTAAATAAAACATAAAATCCAGAAACATCTGTCATTGTTGACGATATTTACTTTTTGCCCCTGCCTATATTTGTCCCATCCAACGCTGTACCGTTGTGTTCAGAATTCACAAAAAGAAATTGTCATTATAAAAGTTAAGGTATGGGGTTCACCAGGACCAATAAACTGTAGGGTTTCTTTTACATGAACACATCCTCGGCCCTGCTAGAAACATCCTGCAACGGAATGTTAATTACCATATTAAGTGTATTTTACAAGGGCCTAATTTTTTCCTCTTTAATATTGGTGTTGTTTATACACCTTGGAGACTTTCCGTAGGTATTGGTACGTACCTCCTCCCATGAACTCTGTACAACTTTCCCCTGTGCTTTCCTCCCACACCTACCAAGGAAGCAGGTGCAACTCGCAAATTGCTCTCATATTCGGATACCAATCGCTGCTGGGCGATAGGAAACATATTCAGGGATACAATACCGTCAATTTCTTTCATAAATAGAGAGTTGTGAGGCCGCTGCAGTCCAGGTTTGTAAAGATAAGGAATGATCCCTGATCTTAAAAAGACATTGAACTGAGAAAGTTGGATGACCTTGAACCCGGTAGTCGCGGTTTTGCGGAATAGATGCAAAGATCTTCTGATCAGGCCAGACGCAATGATTTTTTTCTGCGACCACGTTAGTCAATGAGCATAATGCTGATTCGTCACTTGGTAACGAATGGTTCTCGGACTTAATTTCCAGAGCCAATGAATCAAGGAAAAACAGGTGAAATTTATTTCATCCATCAGTACATACTGCAGGTCTTGATTAACCACGATTTAAGAAACAGACTACAGGGAAACAGACTACAGTACAAGAACAACTTTTTTTTCTTGGTTTTTCCAGCATCTTTGAACACAAAACTCGAAACTGGTCAGTGTATGTAATAATATTTCTGAAAAGTACAGCAAAAAATAATTACCTTAATCTAAATTACCTTTAATAATATAGGTTGAATGGTAAAGGTATGCGGTAGGGTATAATCTGCGCAATGTCAACGCAATATGCATTACATGGGTGGATGTAAAAAAATTCGAAGGACAACCGACGAAATTGAAACCAAACCAAATCTTTGAATCGGGTGAAATCTCAACCACACTTGCCCAAAAGTGTTGACATCGGATATTTTCGTCGGGAAAGAAGTTCAGCAACACTTGTCTAAATGTATTCGGTTTTCATGAAAGTCGTTATCCACAAACTACAATGCGTAAAATGCACACCACTTCGGATACAAACAAGAAAGGGGACTGAATCACACACAAATATTTTCACTTTCAATCGACTGAATCTATTCTAAGAACTGCAAAAATAGAAAAAGTAAAAACAACTTCTGTTAATTGTGAAAGCATCGTCGGGGAACCAGACTACAAGAATAACATTTTTCTTGGTTATTCCAGCATCTATGAACTAAAAACTTGTTATAAAATACCTATCCCCAAATCCACTCATTTCTAAAAACTCCAACAAAAGCAAATGTTGTATGTATATACCTGTAAGCTAACATAAATTGAATTGTGAAATACGAAAAAAAATAAAACATCTACCTTGAAAATTCTACACGTTACTTATGAAGGTAATGCACTCAGCAACTGTGTAGCAATAAACATCTTACCGATTAACCGACTCACAGATCCTGCACTATGCATGAACCCTCGTGCTCATTTGCATATTCACATAAATTATTAGACAATTATGAGCTCATGTAGTGATGTCATACAAGACAAAATTGTCTTAAATTATCAAATCACGCCGAGCATTTGTATATACTTAAAAAATGATAAAAATACAAATCTCCTAGTTACATATTCAACTACTGTTTTTTAGAAACTAAATGAGAGCGCCAACACTTCACACCGACAACACTTCACACTTCTAGTACATCGACCTCTGCTTTATACAATTTTTTGGGCCAGTTGTTAGAAAAATCCCCTATTTTCACTCAAACTTATGACATGGCTAGGCCACTGTCAAGTGCATTTCTGTCAAAAACATCATTTAGGTATACTCTGGTGGTTGACATTTTAGTTCTTTTATTAGAAAAACGATCATGAAATTGAATGGACTATTTTAAGAAACTGTTATATTGAATATTTAAACGATCAGCCGGGACCGCATGAAAAATTTCGACTAAGCACTGCAAACAAATCCATTTTATCATTCGCAGCTAGCCAAACGCCTGCTCGTCTGAAACTAGGTTGAGTGCGTTGTTGTCTGAACTCACACGCTGGGCACGGCCATTGCGGACGGCTGACTGTTATCTGGTTTGCTGTAAATCAAAAATAGAGTGAGAAAAGAGGTTCCATTTGCAGATTGTTCTTGTCATTCATTGAATTAAATGATACAGATAAAAACTGTTGCCGAAGTCATATTGAAATTTGGACTCTTTTACCTTACATGAACTATAGCCCCACAAGTGACCTGTCACTGATCTAATTACCTTCATTAGGCATGCACAATACAACCAATGAGTGTGTATTTCATAGAATTGAGATTTCACAAAACACCTGCACTAACTATGGTTTGAAAGACGCCCTCTTTTAATTCTTTGTTCCCCTTTTTTTTGGGGGGGGGGGGGTAGTCTATGTATAATAGACCCTGGCCCTCGATAAACCGTTCATCGTCTATGATAAGTAAACAGATTCGGCGATTAATTATGCAACTAGACTGCGTATGACCTCGAGAAACTGACCAATCAGCAGGCGCCTTCTATACGTGCGTAATGCGAGCTCCCCGCGTGCGTAAACATCACGCCCACGATGAGTAGCATTTTTTTGTACAGGTTGTTGTATTGCAAAAACGTGGCATAGACATTGACCAATCACAATCTTAGTCCTGATTTCGGAATGAAATGACGTCACGAATGCTTAGATATATCAGACGCTCTACCGGAGATGGGCTCCGTGGAGAATGGGTGATACTCGGACTAGGAGGGGGCATTGACCAATAATAATCTCAGTCCTGATTTCGGAATGAAATGACTTCACGCATGCTTAGATATACCAGACGTTCTACCGGAGATGGGCTCCGTGGAGAATGGGTGATACTCGGACTAGGAGGGGGCATTGACCAATTATAATCTTAGTCCTGATTTCGGAATGAAATGACTTCACGCATGCTTAGATATACCAGACGTTCTACCGGAGATGGGCTCCGTGGAGAATGGGTGATACTCGGACTAGGAGGGGGCAGAGTACACAACAACATGTGTGATTTTATAATTATTTTAACTATGAAAGCTACGAGTGAGGGACAGATGTTTCGATAACAGCAGATTACGCGTATTATACTCCCGGGGTAGAAAGTCAATATTTGGTCGCACTTTTCCTGTCTGCACCAGCACCTCCTGCGTAACATGTCCAATAAATCACAATAAGGGCCGGCTATGTATCCAGGATATCTAGGGATGCCTTACCTTGGCTCGAGATGGATATCAGTAACAACATCAACTTTCGAGCTGTAAACAAGGACAATAAGGGTTGTAAGTATTCTATATAATCGGTTTTGGCAGTGCTTCCGTTGGATTTCAACACCAGTGCTACTTAAATGTCTTAAATCTTGAATCAAGCAAACCGTACTTTAGCACACACATGCAAACCAGTTAATTGACACTTTACTGTTTACGCCCGACGCGATTTAATACAGTTCATCGTTAAAGTGTTTCAACCAACACCCATGTAAACATTCGAACTAAGCCGATCTAACACCAAACCAGAAAAAATATTGAAGTAAAAAAACTTATACAGTGACATCATGTGCACTCAATATCGCTGGTACACACATTTATCCTACATTTGTATCAACCCTGTGACTTTTTTTTTTTTTTAACCCTGTGATCTTTTTTTTTAATCGAAAGGTGAGTGCTGAGATAATACTAGTGCAAGAGTGCATTTATATTTGTTCCACTGATGCATCAGGTCTTCGGAAGCGCGTTCAATCCGCCGCAGTGGTAGAGGACCATTGATGATTCTCATCAAGATGAATCAGTTCCAGAGTTGGAAATTAAGGTACACGGATCCCAAACGTTCCAGGCAATATGCAAGCTAATGACAGCGCCCTCAACCGCCGCAACAGCTTGACCGCGCTTACCTAAGTCCGGGATGCGGTACTGGCACTATAGAATAGACTTTATGCGTATAACGGCCATCTTGGAGGTCTTCTTTTCGTAATTTTAATTAAGTAAAAATGAATGCACTAAATACCAGCAAAACAAAGGTACTGCCCTCTAAGATGGCTTACTAATACTAAATCCATATCCAGTTTCGGACCAGGGATTCTGTTGTAGTGGAGTCCATCACAAGGCTTCAGAATTCCAGTCCCAAGTCGATTCACATACTATTCAAACTATTGGCAAGGCATTGTTTTGTTATTCATCCCCTGTTGTTTAAGTTTTACTTGTGACAGCCCTCTCGTGATGGAATCGACTATAACGCTACGAAGGACGTCCAGCAAGACATGTCTACCTTTTCTTGACGAACGCGAGTATTCCAATAACGGCAAGGATTGCAACCAGCACCAAGCAGGAACCAGCAATGATGAGAGCCAACTGCCATGTTTTCAAGGCGGGATCTGAGAGGATTAAATTAACATTTAGGCCGTTATACTCTGATACGTTGGCAAGTGGCTGTTTTTTTTTTTACATTTGTGTGCCTTAGTCAGTAGTTTTCTCTCCATTTCTGTCTGTACCGAGTATCTCAGAAATTGTTGACCAACATGCATGCATCATAAAAGATTAGTTTTACATCGAAAATTGTTGCCCGTTTGAACAGGTCTTTTGTTAATTTTCAGTTATCCAAATAACAGAACGTGGCTTTTTTACAACAGATAATGCAGTAACCAACGGATAACGTATCACCAACCGATAATATCACACAAAAATTATGGATATTTTGTCACTAACCGATAATGTAACACAGATGGACTACACTATCAGTCAACATTATCAGCTGTTTCATTATCGGTCCTAAATGATAATGTTATAAAATTGATTGATATGTGACTACATCTCATAAATATTCATGATCAAATTGGAGCACGTTATTGGCCGATTCCGCCGCGCGTCCGGGAAGTAAAAATGATACGCGTCCTGGTGACGTCATCCCGGTGAGTATATAGCTCACTGCCGTGCAGTATTTTTTTGTGGTAGCACCAAAAATTCCCTCTGGAACCCGCCTCGTGGACATATAGTCTGTGGCATGTACTCTTTACGGAACTGTTGTTGTAGTCCTTGTAACTACTGGAGTAAAGACACCAGACTATTCCACTGACTGACGAAGAACGCTTGTGCTGAAAAAAGATGCAAAATCTACGAAGTCCGTTAATATCGTCAGTGCATTGAGGCTACTAAAAAGCAGTCAGTGAGGCTACTAAATATTTATCATGTGTAGTAAAACAAATACAGCAAGGATTATTTCTGGAAAATTGTTGGAATTACTGGTCCCCCGTTGTAAGTCAGCTTGACTACCTCCCTCCACTTCGCGTCGGGATGTAGTCAAGCTGACCTACACCTCGGGACCAGTAATTCCCACTACTTCTCCTCAAACCAAGCTGTATTTGTACACTACTCTGCCAGTCAATTTTTGGTACATTATCGGTTAGTGATACAATATCGGTCAATTTGTGTGGCAGTTATCAGTTGGTGATACGTTATCCGTTGGTTACTACATTATCAGTTGTAACAGGCTTCTATTTTGTTAAAAGGTTTCCATTTAATTATTCTACCCGAAATTTAGGTTACAAACCTCCCCCTCCCAACATACGGCGGGTACTTTGTGTTAATGATAGTGGTTTTGAAAGACGGCTGATAAAGTAATTTCTTTTCTTTGAAGACAACCCACAACTGGATTTTTCAAGCTACTTTTTAGGGGAACAGTTCATCTGTCAAACCTGATGGTTGCTTATAAGCGGTACAAGTCGGTACTTTCCCGCTCCATTGACCGTTCTCTTGGCACACCAATTCACTGTCCCCTTGCAAAGTGTATCCATCATTACAGGTGAACCTGGCTACTCCGCCCACATTGGTACTTGATACTTCCATCTGACCGTTGGCTGGTTCCATAACGGCGTCACAGATCACTGGGTTCATGGTGACAATTTTAAGATAATTTAGGATAAATATATTAACGATTTATAACTATAACATGATATTTATATTATCTATATTAGTGCAGGTAACGGGGCGTAAATCATGGGTGGGATGGGGATATCCCCCGACTTTTTGACCAGGGGGATGGTCAATTGAATCCCCCCCATGTAATCGAGTAAAACAAATATCTAAATTGACGGCCATTTTGAAATATCCAAGATGGCCGACATCCATTGGTAGGACGTTATTGGTAGTGTGTTGTTTAGATTTCAATATATCAATAGTATGAAGTTAATCTAATAATCATGGAAATTCCTCAAAAGGACAATGAAAATTCAAAGTTTATCATGCAATGCTGTCTTTGTGCTAGTCTAGTATTATATTAGTAAGTATCAAGTTATTCTTTAAATCGGAAATTTGTCAACGAACCTTGAACACAGATGGGTACGTCCCCGCTCCATGTGCCGTTCTCTTGGCACACTAGTTCATCTTCCCCTTGCAAGATATATCCATCATTGCAGGTGAAGTTGGCTACCCCACCCACACTGGCACGAGACACTTCCTTCTTGCCGTTGGGAGGTACAGCAAGAGCGCCACATATCACTGTGAAGAACAAAAACAAAGTAGACAACAGCCACCTGGACAATTAATTCGGTCTGCTTAAATATCAGTCACTTTATATGTGGCAACTTTGACTAATTTTGAAGATGACGTATAATTTGAAACAATTTACAACATCGAAAATTCAGTAAGGGGAGTCTCAGCCATAACAAATATCAGTACAAAAGCTCTGTCAAAAACCTGACGGAAAACAAAATCAAAAAGCCATCTGGAGCATCTGCTTCAAGCTGAATTTGATCGTCAAGGTACGACTCTACAATCAAATGACTGTTTTGTGCCATATTTTTTACAATTGTCATGTGCGGATCCGCCCTAGCTCTGTCCCCCCCAAAAAAAATCATAGAAATTCCTTAAAAACAATGCGACCCCCAAAAAATAATACTGGTAATAATGTCCGCATGTGCACAAAATACGGACAGAGCCAGCTTGGTTAGGGGGTATTTGTTATTTTGTACAATGTGTGTGTGTGTGTGTGATATAGTGTTAAAAATCGTCAAATTTGATCAACGCCCCCGTTGAAAGTATAGTACGAGCCGAGCCCCCCCCCCCCCGCCCCCACCTATTGATTTTCGAAATACAAGTGTCCAGAGAAACAAAATTTGTCTACATTTCAGATTGTTTTGCTGATGAAACCCCCACCCCCTGCGAAATTCCTGGATCCGCCCCTGTTAGCATATAGGAAGCTTTTCACACATTTCGATTTTTACCATTCGCTCGTGAATTGAAACAATTTATAGGCATATTGGCTGACAAACAGAGGAGAGAGTCACAGTTTCTACAAATATCTTGTCCCTGGCAGAATCGATAAAATGTGGAGAATTGAACGGCAAAAGAAGGATCGTTTCCAATGTATTATGAGGTTTGTGGGCGTGCTAGAGCCCGTAAGCAAACGGTCTTTTCCGTATGCTAACCTCATTTTAACCTTTATTTTTTACAGCTAAAACTCCCTTTTTAAAACGTTCGATGCTGAAGATTGCTTTCAATGTATAATTTGTATAATCTTCAAAACTAGTCAATGTTTTCCACATTCATTTCACCGATCTATCGGGACCAGCGGCACAATGTGCCCCCTAAGAAAATGTCTTATAACTCGAGAATGCTTTGGCCGATAGGTAGGTGGTAGAAACATTTAGCTCAAGGTATGAAATTTCATAACCTAACTTTTATCGGCGGTCAATATTGTATGTCATCACATTCTGTAAGATGTCCATGGTTAGCAAGGCTACAAATTAAACAACATTAAACCTATCTGCTTAAGACAAACATTCATGGTCACGCTGGGAATCCAATATGGCCGCCACTAAGCCGCTTCAATTCTTCACCATTTCTTTAATTCTTCACCCTTCTTTTTTTCTTTAATTGGGGGTACCTTTTGGACCGTTTTTGGATGAAATAAATGCAAAGCATTCATAACATCACCATAAGTTATTCATTAGAGCCTCATTTGGTTGAACGAATTTAAAGTTTTGGACAGCATCTGGAAAATGAAGATTTTGCCCAAAAAGTGGGTAAAGCGCACGCTGGCGATGACTTTGGATACAACATTGTTTTTCGATGGAATACAACCAAGTCGTCTTAATAAAAATGTAAAAATTTTGCCAAAAATACTTTTTTTGACCAATATCTGTGCAACCAAAGTACTATTTCAATTTACAAAAACAAGGCCATTTCACACTAGAGCTGACATTTTGATTCACACTTTACCTAGTGCTGCACTTTCGATGGCAGTTTTGTAGCTATCCACCGCTCCCTTGGTGGCCCTAGCGATGTCTTCGTTTCCAGTCACGATAAAGTCGAAGGCGCATCGGGTGTCGTCGCCGCAAACCTCAAGAACGCTGTCATTAGCGGCATCACTCGGTGACCAGAAAAGTGGAGCAAATGTCTCATCGGCGTAATCCGAAGGAACCTTGCCCCTGGGATATCTCAACAGGGAATTCTCTGGCTTGATTTGCCCTGATGAGAAATAAGAATTGCATTGCACACTTTAGTCTTAAAGGACCATACCATAATAAGTATTGTTATAACAGATTCAAAGTCGTTTGACCCACGTCTTGTCAAACAAGTACAAAGTGGTACAACCCACGCCGGCCGGGTAGCAGCCGGGTAACGTATGAAGACGGCTATACAGTACCGTCCGTACACCCGCCACCCGGGCCGTACTGGTACCTCGAGAGTACAGAAAAGGAAATATACAATATATACAATATATACAATATATGGCCGAGTGTCCACCAACCAACCAACATCAATCCCACGACGTGTTTCACACCGCCGTGAGAAAAATCAAAGTCAAAAACAGGCACACAAGACTAAATGTGCTGATGCTTTTCACACACGAATTTTCATATTATCGGACAATCTTACATTTTTGACCGAACTCGTAGTGGATCTCCTCCATTGTGGCATTGGCTGTAAGGACGGTGCCGTCTGGTCTTTCGAAGTCGTCATTTTGTTCTCCATTCCAGTTACCATACAGTCCTCTAGTTCGCCCTTTCAGTTCCTGCTGTAGTGCGGTGAACACGTTGAGCAACCCGGACGCTGTTGAAACGACTAGTGACACTCCACATTTGAAATTCACGTGGATGTTCTTGGTCATCACGCCCGAGTTGTTCGCCTCCCGGTAGAAGACCGTCACACCTAGGACAAAGAACATCCACAGAATCGTTGTGTGAATCATGGCGTGGCTGATTTTGTTTTTTAATATAGGTTTCTCATCTAAAAGACTCACGCATATTATGCTAACATGAACATGTAATAAACTCGTCATCGGCGCTAATTAGAAAATACTTCTCAATTAACGTTTTCAAGTTTGCTTTCTATCTGAAGCTAGTTTTTGAAGCTGTTCCCCTATCCCCACCTGGCTCCCATTGGAAAATAAACATGTAAGGAAAGCTCAACTCTTTACATTTCATGGCTGCTCTTTAACATTCTCATTGCGTAACTCAATACATGTATTTGATTACCCCGAAAACAACACTACTTCAACAATAATTCATAAGTACTAAGACAGTTTACCCATTCCTATTGGTAGAGAGCCTGCCATGTGACTGGGTTTAAACGGCTAATAAAGACCGGCTTGCTGGTCTTAAACACTTTCCCAGTGTCATATACAATTTTGACTCCTATAAAATCCGGTGCGTAGGCATGCGCAATACTACCGGTGAGTCAGCATTTCATAGCCCTAAATTCACAATTCACCAGCACAGCTGCATTCTCTGCGCCACATCACTCAGTACGCGTGACGCACGCCAATCTCCATATACAATTTTTTTTTACCACTACTCGCGAGAGGGACATGCCATAATATAGCTTGAGGGGTGTCCAGAAAAAGGCATGAAGTACAATCGTTGAAAATTAAACTAATTTTACTTGTGTGATTTCGGCTGGGGTCATTATCAGCTTCCAGACTCCAAGCGGTCTTAAACATAGTGTTTAAAACCGGTCAAGCATGCATTCATTCTCTTACGAATAAGAGTGGGACCAAGCTAAGATTTACAATCGATATCAATAACCACGCCTTTGAGTAAATCGTGCTGTGGAGTTTCGCGCAAGCCAGTGCGTAACATTAATTCAACACATTTCCAAAACTTGAAAACGTGAAATATCTCCAGACATTAAAGTCTTTCATGCTCGATTAAAGTCTTAGTTCACTCACCTTCCAACTCGACTCGTCTGATCTGTGTCTCTTCGAACTCCATCATTGTCCAGTCACTGTCGTTCCCTTGACGAAACCACACATCGATGCCCCGTCGCTCGCTGACTTCAACATGAATCTGGTCCGATTCGTTCCTGTGAAGGGCCGCCAGGGCTGTTATCACTGTTGCTTTACCACCTGAAGAATCATGTATCTTATACATTTATCATCATAGTGCTGTTATCATTATAGAAATGGAATAATTTTCATTGAAACTATAAATTGCATTTTTCACAAATTATCGCAAGAGTCATAAAAAATAAATGCAGAATTTTGATTCACTGTGGCGTTAATTTAGTTATTTCAGCTATATCCCATTTCTAAGATAGTTTGCATTTTTTTTTAGAATGCAATCTCTGAGGGAAAAAAGATACTACAGGAAACAGTGTTGATAACTTTAAACTGCGAGAGTACATGTCGTATAAGAATTATATCCGAAAATAACTGCTTGAAACATTTCTGTTCAACTCATACATGCACTATCGATACCTTTGTTTAGACGGACATTACCTGGCTGTAAGACGGCCATTCTCGCTTGCAGCTCCAGCAGTCCACCACACGTCTCTAGCAAGGTGTACTCACCCACACCGTTGAAGGTGTACTCTATCCCATCCAATGTGAAGAGGTGGGGATCTCCAGTACCAATGGCTGTAACAGTGTGAGCAAATGGAGGATGCACATTTTTTTTTCGGCAACCAGGTATAGTCAGTTGTCATAGTGGTTTGACTTTCAAACGGGGGGGGGGGGGGGGGGGGGGGAGAGGGATGTGGTATGAACACCGCAATATTTAAAATCAATACATGTGTATATACCAACGTCAATGTAATGCGTAAAGTGTAGAGATTAGAGCTCAGGCGAGGCACATCATGTTTTCGAACATTGCAACCCGATTCTTGATACTAAGGGAATGTTTTAACCCAAGATTTTGAGTTTATGCCATTTCGAGGCGGATGCGATCAGCATACTGTCAATTGAAAATAAGTTGCTCACCGGGCTGAGGTGGCTCGTAGTCTTCGCAGGTTTGAGAAGGACGAATGTAAATTTTGTACTCCTGACAAAACCACTCCGAGAATATACAGCAGTGTTCCATTGGTAGAATATCCCAAAACCAGTGAGAGAGGTAGGGAACACGACCAGCAAACTTAGACAAAAAGTCGAAAATATAATTCTTGACAAATCGACTGGTTAAGAATACGACTACAAGTTGTAAACCGGAAGGAACAAAGCAGCCGACATAGCATCCCAACTCTTTAATTTGGAAATCGAGTTTAAACTTACCTTATACGGTGCAACACCCCCATGATGTCTTCGGTGTGCAAAACCACCGCCAGCAGACCTTGCTACGTCAAGAATATTGTCATCGTTACCATAGCAACACTCTTGCCCACCTCCCAAATCACTGGAAAAATCGAAAACGGTTCATACGTGAATTTGTGTACTCGGTTATTATTATTATTATTATTTTTATTGTTGTACCAATTAAAGAGATCTCCACGTGGCTCTGTTAATGCTTGTCAGTTTGAAGTGATTGTGGACCACTCTTACCTGGCTGTGTCGGCTCTTACACAGTACACGGCACCAGGCTTGGACATCTCGCAGCTTCCTGGAGAATTGCATAGAGGGTGCTCACTGAACCGACCAGCATCGACCAGAGCCTGGGTCAGCGTGCAGGGGCACGGCTCAGTCACTTCAAGGAAGTCCAAGTCCAACGTAGCCTCTGCCAGCCATCTATCGCACCATCCTGAAGGGCTAGGGACTGGATAGAGCCAGTGGAGGTTGTGGATGTCGCTCCACATGCCTGGTTGAGTTCTTGAAAACATCAGTCAAACACGTTAACGGTTGAGATTTAATTATCAAACCGCTTAATACTACATGCTTTGCAATCAATTTCAACTCAATGTACATTTTTTTTTTGTGCAATGCGAAATCCAAACCTTGGTCCCTAAGGTCATAATGCAGAAACAAACCTGGAGAAAATCAAATGGGAGCTAAATGCTTAACATGGTGTTAATGTTGGTAAGGCAAATAGTAATTCGAAACGAGCTGCCGAAACATTTCAACTCTTGGATTGTGAGCCTTGGGAAGTACTAAGAAGCTGAAGAGAAGTAAAAAGACAATACGAGCACACCAGGGCTCTTAGTTCATTCTCTTAATGACAATTATAAGAAATCATTGAGGATAATCAAAATATTGGATAGGGTGCTCCTTGTTTATAACGTATACGCCATCACAACGCATCATTAAGCCAGATTTGCCTTGAAGTAAACTCAATCGCTTTCACCGGAAACTAAATCAAAAGCTGTTTGAAAAGATTTTGTGCCATTTTTCTTACCAAGCATACCAATCACTATCGTTTTCACTCGACCGTTATTAAATGAGAGCAATACAGGGTGCGTCCAAAAAGTGGAACCCAAATCCCCCCAACAATATTTTTCATATTAAAAAAAATATGTAGCACCAAACATAATAATGACTGGAAAGCCAATTTAATAAGCTACTCTAAGATGAAAAAAATACTTAAATTGCTCAATCCGTTCAAAGAATATCACCATTTAAACGCAATGACCCTAAAACCTGGTTCGTCTAAAAACAAAAGCAGTTTAGTGTGTATTTTGACTGTTTGGAGCAACAAAGAAAATGACACAGAATGTACTTGTTTCAACAACTGTAAATCACTGTAGTACACTATATCTTTATTAACAACCCTGGCTAGGCAAACAATATAATTTATAAAATCCACTTTTTTAAAAAGACGGACTTTCAAAAGGACTTTGTTGAATATTTTTGACTTTTAAACTGAGCTTCATCGCTGGTGATATTTGAAGACAATTGTGACGACGATTCTTGAAATCGTATTTTTAGACAAAAGAGATTTTATTGTGTTTAAATGAAGATATTCTTTTAAACGGATTGAGCAATTTCAGTAATTTAAAAGTAAATTTCAACAATCTAAAAGTAACTTATGAAATTGGCTTGCCAGTCATTTTTATGATGTTTGGTGCTACCTATTTATTTAAATATGAAATACAATTTTGGGGGTTTGGGTTCCGCTTTTATTGACCCACCTTGTACCAAATGAGATCAACTTTGCCCAAAACTTACCGTTCCGCTTCATCTTGCCCTTGTATATATTGAGACACACGGATAGCTCCCACCGTGTACTGGGCGCCACTCGGTGCACGGGGCCGGATGAAACTGAACCGACCCGCGCTGTACGGCACTGTTTGTTCTTCGTTGATACCATACAGACTGTACACAAATGGCATCTTCACCTCTCCTGTGGCTATATCCTCCTCGTAACCATGGACAGAGATACTAACATTTGCTGCGTAGTCTTGTAGTAGCTCAGTATCCCACGTGATCGTCAGCTCTTCCTTGTTCAGCCAATCGGTTGCATCCAATCGTTTGACACTTGGAGTGACATCCTCCGGACTCACTATGTAATTCGTGTAAAGAAAGAAAGGTACAACTGTCGAAAATGTTGACTGCTGTGATGATGTGGGATATGGCTGCTGTGATGTGGGATATAAGGGGTTAAAATCAACATATCACACATCATAGCAGTCAACAATTGTTTTGTTATATCGTGCTGATGCGTCAAAAAATAATGATGTTTTTTTAACTCAAGTCTTCCAAAAAAATACTGCTGTTTACCATTTTGATTACTGTTCTTGCCGAACAAACCCTTCACGTCGCGCAATATAATTATGCAACGCGGTGTATAATGATTTATATGCAAATTGAATGCAATGAATATGATGTAATTTATATGCAACGTGGTGTACCGTAAGTAAATACTCCTTTTTATAGACTAGACACGTGGCTATTCTAAACCAATGGAATTACAGTATCAAAGACACGATATAACAAGACGATTTGTTGCACTGCTTATATTTAGTACATACATATATTTCATTCTCAAAACTATGCGTTATTCAGATTGGTATATGTCCAAAATTACTGTCCAAATCAAACAGATTGTAATGATATTGGTAAGCCAAAATTTTGATATATACAAAATAATTGTATATATCAAAATATTTTCATCGAGTTGATCGATATTCTGCTGTGATAGTTACGGTATGTGAATATTCCGGTGAAATTGAAAGATTCGCCGCCATTAGCTGACATCTTAAGTGGCAGACGGCCGACTTCAAATACCAGCGGGCTGACGCATCTGGCTGTGGTGTTAGAAACCAACTGCCCGGGTACTTCAGCATCAGCGAATCGGCACACGATGGTGGAGGATTCGTCGAGACACGGTCCGGAAATGTGGACGATATCTCCACCGAGCATAGAGCCAGAAACGGGGAAGACAGCCAGGGATCCTGATCGGAAGAAACAAAGGTTGTGAGATCCGTATAATCATTTCAATAATTAACTCTGTCATGTACTTTTCCAAGCAGGCTCATGCTACTCCTTTTCCCAAGGGCGGAACCAGGAAGGCCAACAGGTCCCCCAAAAAACGAACCCAATTTTTTTTTTTTTTTAAAGTGACGTCGCAATAAAAGCAGGCACTACGTACAATGCCATCTTTTCCTTAAAAAAAGGTAAAAGTGGTCAAAAATTGCCTCAGATCGCACCAAAGAGCATCTAGAATTCAACAAACTTTCGGGGCCCGCTTAAGGGCCCCGAAATCCACACCGTAATTTTGGGCCCACTTTTTTGGGGGACCAAAATTGTTTGTGCCCCCCACATAAAAAAAGGTGTTCTGGATCCGCAATTGTCTTTTCCACAAAAAAAAACCTGTGCGGATGACAAGAAGTGAGTTTTGTATTCAATTGCCCATACCTTCGGAGTTACAACCAGAATCGACGATATCACTGCTGTCAATTCGAAACAAAAAGCGCCCTATGGTGCCAACATTCGAATCTTGATCGATGTCAACGATTGCGTCTGTCCTGGATTCGGGAACAGCGTAGAATGTGAAGCCATCGCCAGCATTGAAACCAACCTGTAACAAAAGAATACAAAGATAGTTGCATTCCCGTTTCATTTCATTATACTTACTGGATAAAAAAAACTGAATCTTCACATAACAACCCACACTATAACCGAATTGTCTGTTTTATTTTATTTGGAATACCACCATGAGGCAAGGATGAAATCATCCTATTACGTTTAGATGCAAGTCCCTATAGTTGATTAATAATGTTATTTAAATAATGTTATTCTTGTTGATGTACCCTTAAGGAGAATTGGTTTTCGTCATAAGATAGACCCAAGGGAGACATCGGACGTCACAACTCCTATTTAGAGGCCATGTTTTTTAGCGTGGCGATAGGCCAGTTCGATTGCTCTTGGCTCAAATATATCAATAGAACAACATTCGTTTGGGTAGGATAAGGGACAATTTGGGGCTAGGGGTCATTAAAGTAAAACAAAAATGTGGTGCACAACACTATATAGGCTATGTCTCCCTAAGGCACCATTTCCCGTAATTATAGTAATTAATGTTATTATAATAAAATTATTTTCTCATGCAATTCGCGTACAAACGATCCAAGACATAGCATTTTACAGGGTCGTTGAAATGAATTGTTTTTTAATAGGAACAAACTTTTTCTGCTTCTGTTAAATGTATGAAAACTATTTAACATCCCTGTTTGGTTAATTGATTAAAAAGAGTACTTCTTTAAGCATTTAAAATTGTCCATGCTTTTCTTGACAACTGAGGGCGCTGTTGCTGTGATGTCATTTCAGGAAGACACTATTCAATTCAGGGGTTTCTTGTTCAAATGTTACTCAAACATTTGCTCATGAAAAACATTTGTGGGAAAAGTTTGTTCATTGGCTTATTAAAGCCATGTACTGACACCACAACGAATAACCAAAAGAAAACAGAGTTCACTACACAAAATATCCAAATTCTGGCAATTTTTGGTGCTGCAGGTAACATAGAGGTTTCTGCCCTAAATGACACTACACTTTGGTCATAAATATGGAAATTTGCATGAATTTATAAGCATAAAAACAAAAGAGGCACCAAAATACCCATGAATGTGGCAAAAGGAAAATTGAATATAGGGTTAAATGGGACACAAAGGTGCGTTTTCAAGGATTGCTTAAAAAGAAATTGCATTCAATGGCCCTTTAACTCTTTAATTTATGCCGATGGAACTGTGAGCGTCGGAGACTTACTTGGGCTGGTATACCGCCCAGTCCGTTTGAGCTGTTTCCACCGCTTGCTGTGCCGGTCGTCCAGCGAATGTCTTCATAGTTGTAAACAGCAAAGGAATGTCTCCCGTTGGTCACTAACAGAGCCTGAAATGTGTTTGTCTATAAAGGAAGCAACACCAAATGTTACATGGCCTATTTGACTCGTCTGTACAAAGGAAGAAACACAAGTTGTGTTAACCAATAATAGTCTCTATCTTGTTCCCTGAACTTTCTCCTTCATACACCAGCGAGCCTGACAAGTAGTCCTACGGGAAGTCGGACTCATATCAGGTGTGTTTGCGTATGTTTATGGTGTAAATTGAGGACACACACGTGCAACATCATCGATTATTCGAGGACAAGAACCAAATCGAGGACGACCTCGATTAGAAAACGTGTACAGAACCAATGAGAGCTGTTGCGAAAAAGTTAAAGAACAAACAAAGGAACAGGGAAGAGGAACAAAAGAAAATCCTCGACTAACGCCAGAAACAAATGTGTGTGTGTGTACAAGCTTTTGGACGGGGAATGCCAATGGCGAGTTAAGGCCTCCTTTTTTAACTTATCCCTCTGCGTATACATTTTAAACAAACGTACCCGCCGGTACATCGATTTGCACAGTATTTTCCCCATGCAACAGCTGGCAGCGGTGTAGCTACGGGGGGCTGGATACGATATTGCTTGTCCCATAAGGCAAGGCTTTTACCAGCCATCATTCTCACGGGGAATGGGCATAAATCGCGCATAATTATGTACATGTATTTATGTGTTCATGCATACACACGTTTGATCAGGACCCCTTAGTCAGATGGGTATCCACCCCAACCCCACCCCAATCCCACCCCTTATCAAATGTCTTAAGCGATGGTCCCCCGTCAAAAACAAAATGGACAAGAAATAGCCGCTGCCGGTGTGGCCTCTGCATGTTTGATCTTTATAGCCCCTTATCATTTAATTCTGTATTGTTGCTTACTATTTGAAGGGCTTCTCCACCGGCTCCAAAAAAAGGCACTTCATCCCAAGTCACGATGAACATCCAGGATGATGAAAACTTCGACTGGTCGATAAAAGCCTGCCTGATGATACCATCTGCTTGGCCAAATAACTCTTCATTGCTCGGAGTACGGTGGAGTTCACGGTACGACACGTTGCCTCCAAACCAGATATTAACATCACCCCAGAATGCCGCCACCACTCGTCTGTCACCATCCAGTGGAAAAGGTGACGGGGTATACTGGGAAACTTGGATGAGGAAAGATATCACGCCATTTGTGTTCACCTGGAGTTAAAGCCAAACAAATATACTTGAACGTAGTCGTGAAGTTTTATGAACATGCCAAGAAGGTGGTTTGGTTTCTTATGGAGTTATCAAATAAGAAAAGTTTAATGAAAAGCAATTCATTATGAATTGATTTTTGTGTGTGTTTCCAAAAGGGTATAAATCAGGTTCATTAATCATACACTGGTTTGAGATGAATCTGTATACTATGGTAGCTTTGAAGGGACATCTCAAAAGGTGAATATCGAAGTCAATATTCGCATCCAAGTGATTTCCCCAAACTCTCAATTCCTTACTCTTGAGGGTCACGTGTGCACGAAGCCTATACTGCCCCTGTTACAACACAAACTGCTAGTTTTTGGCTGTATCGTTACTGAAGTGACATATGCGACGTAGGCCAACTTACAAAGAGAGAGTCGTGGTTGTGATCGAAGAACGGGAATGGGATGGTGATTGGAATCTCCCCTGAACTCCCATCGTCATTTGGTGGAAGAAATGAGTCTCCTTCTCCAGCGCCAAACGGGAACAAAAGTTCTATTTCGGGAAAAAGGAAAAGGGGTTGCATTAGAAATTGAAACATGTCATTTGTATTAAACACTCTACCAGTGTTGTAGCGAGGCCACAACCTCCGAGGCCGAGGCCAAGGCCGAGGCCACAACCTCCGAGGCCAAGGCCGAGGCCGAGGCCACAACTGCGAGGCCAAGGCCAAGGCCGAAGCCACCACCTCCAAGGCCAAGGCCGAGGCCGAGGCCAGCTATCAAAACACGTAATAAAATATAAATCACTAAAACAAGGCTAAGATTATGTTGGAGTTTTAACATCTTTTTAGTTGAATTCACTGAGTTTTGGAGTGCCCAGGCTTACAAATTTATAGCTTGCAATGGGTTTCCTCTTGTAGGGAGTCCGGCGAATTTTATTTTTTTAAAGAAAGAAATCTCAAGTTTTGAATCACTGAAAGCAAATTACACAACAAAATCAATGGCGTTTGAATCAGGCTCATAGGTGTTTGCCCTTTGGAGGTACAACAATTTAAATGGCCACATTTTGAGTTTCTATTCAGTAAGATTAACATTATTTACTTTTAGCATGTTTTATAAATCTTATTTTCAAAACCTATCAAAATGCTTAATATCATAGGAATCCCCAACAACTTGATTTTTGAATCAGGTTTTTACCACTCATAGCCAGTGGCGTCACCAGACTTTTCAGTCTGGGGGGGCACAGGGGGGGGGGGGTGCACCAGCATTTGATGGGGGGGGGGGGGGGCACTTAGGTGGATACGGATCGCCGTCCTGGGGGAGGGGTCTAAGGGGAGGGGGTGGCCCCTCCCCTTTGGAAAATTTTCGCATACGGAGGATGGGCTAGATGCACAATGGTGCCACATTTGATGCTAAATTCGATCTGAAGATATCTCAAGAAATTGCTATTTTTGAGGTAATGATTTTAACAACGCGCAGAATTTTGCAGAGGATAGGGGGACACCAGCATTTGATGGGGGGGGGGGGCACCCGGGGGGCACTAGGTTTTCCACGGGCCCCCCTGCCCCCCCCCCCCCCCCCCCCCCCCCCCCCCTTGGCGACGCCACTGCTCATAGCCAAAAAGTTACGACCCCCCCCCCCCCCCGACCGTCGCACTGTCCAGGCGCACGCCGAGCAAACACCGCGATGCGACCAGACAATGCCAGACGGCCCGCCGTTACGCACGGGCAAAGCATAGTTCCAATCCCGCTCCACACAACGGGATAAGTGTCCACGCATTATCACTGTTACTCTTCACATCCAGTCACCGTACTCTCTTAAAAAAACAACCCGTTAGTGATCGATAATGGGCTGCCAGTGCATGACTGATTGTTCTAGTACAAATGTACCACTAGCACTCGTGGTGTGCCGTCCTGGAAGGCCATGACCATTACTCGCACTATATGTTTCCCTAGTTTACAAATACCCAATACAGAAGCCTTTCTGGAACACGTCAGGCAGCAGATACGCAGGGCCAAGAGTTCGCTGGTACCCACCGCTCGAAAGATTGCGCTGGGAACTTAATATAAGGGCTAATTTCTTTCACACAATTTTGTGTAGGAAGTACAGGCGTTGCAAAGCATTGTGGGGAGCTAACTGCCTTCATTAATGCACGTACGTTCTGTGCGCAGGGTTGCTCGAAGAAATTCACGAAGAAATTAGACCTTTTCAAATTTTTTTTTTACCGGTTTACAGGGTGAGTAAAAAAAACCCGAAACCCCAAATGTCCGGACTATCGTTTTAGCGAAGTTCTGCGTGTAGCGTGTGGCACTTTTGCATGTGCGTTCTTTCGGCAGAACGAAAACAATTCAACACACATCCCTATGTGATTGTTTTCGTTTTGCTGAAAACAACAACAACAACAACAACATTTATACCCTTTTGTGATCCGTGTACAGAACTTTAAAATGGTGGTTGTGTTTCGGAACTTTAAAAAAAATCGTAACTTAAAAATAACTTAAAAATCACATGGAATGATTTGAATGATATGTTTTCCAATTGAAAGCTTAAGAATTGGGCTTTCATATCCTAGATTTTAAACGTGCTTCATGCAGATCTTCACTTAAACAATATTGTCCCGACGTTTGGGTTTCCTTTTATTTCACTCACACTGTATAGGGCGGTGGATATGAGCGAAACGCGAAGGGTCGTAACTTGAAAAGTACATGTAAGGGTAGGTCAAACCATTACACAGTGTGCATTGCATTTCGTGTCCACACAGAAGAAGTGACTCCGGTATAGGTCACTGGTTAAACAAAATGTACCCCAACTAGCTCCTAGGGTGCAGGCCAGTAAAGTAGATCCAGAACTGCCGATGCCGGCAATTTGCCTTAGCCGGTCGATTTGTGACGTATACTAAAGCCCACCGCACACCTTTCTGATTTTACCAGTTCACCCGATCACCGGTACGGTATTTTTCACCGCTACGGAGACCCATGTCATGACCGACTTAGTTCTATAATCGGTCACGATGACAAAATGGCAGCCGTCAATTTTGAATCAAGTGACGTCCTTCGTGAATCCGATTGATTAACATAAATATCGCGTCCGGTAAAGATCGGAGTGCTACCCGCACAATTTTCCGTTGACATCGGATCTGGTGAAATCGGATGCTAAAAGAAATCAAACAAGTTTGATTTCAATCAAACAGAAATCAAACAAGTTTGATTTCATCTGGTCGCCTGGTTTACAGACAGGTCGGTCTGGATTTTTTTTCAGCGCACACCTCTCCGATCTGCTCCGATGATCAGGTGAACTGGTAGAATCGGAATAGTGTACGCTAATGGAACGTCTACAGGCAACCGTCTTTGACCTTGTTGACACATATAAGTGAAGGCCAGTAAACAAGTGAAATTCGGCAATATGTTTATGAAAAGATAGTAAATGGAGGCAAAATTATTATGTGCAGTAATGTTTTAGTCACGTGGTTTATAGCGCAGTGTGAGTTTCGCGCAGGGCGGCAGCGTACAAGATTGTGCGTGCAAGCCCGTTTGTAGGCTCGCACAGTCTCCGGTCAACGTTACCGTCCGCTGCACGGTGAAAGCATGTGCCGGCGTGGATGATAGGCTACCCCAAAGCACACGGCTTTTTCTTGACACTGGTGCGGAAAGGAGCCCGGCTTCGCGTTTTTGAGCGACGCATTTAAGCTCTGGCAGGGATACATTTCATGCAAGACTTATATGCCAGACGGCCAGAGCTTATTGTGTTTTCGCACTTGTTTGCTATTAGAGCATTTTGTGGGCCATAAACTTTAGAATTTGTAATTAAAGAAGGTTGAAAGCCGTGAACAGGACTGCGCTCGTATTTCTGTTAAATTCGAATGAAATTTGGCACCATTTTTTTTTTTATTTTGCGATTGAGAGTATAATAGGCTTCATTTTTCAAATGACGATGGTTTAAAATATTTTAACATCATTGACCGGTGTTTGAGCGGCAGTTTACTACCCACGTGACGGGCTCTCGGTCATTAGGAATGGGAAAACTGTCTCGGGTTTTTATGAATAAATAATTATGAACCAAGTGCTGATCTCGCGTGATTTCTAAGTAGGAGTTGTAAAAACAAAAGTTATCCGGTCTTGGTATATTTTTCTCTTGCTGGAAAAGGTCATCAATCATGTCTGAGGGCACCACAAACCTGATATTTAGGTCCGACTACAAAGTTCAGCTTTTGGCGAGTAATCAGCATGGACCCTGGCATTCCCTGACCGCTATTTCTTTCTGCAACAAAACTTTGTAAATGTTTATGGTCATTATGCGCATGTGTCAGTTGGTATGAGGTATCGTGACCGCCACACACGGACTTTGATTAATAAGCTTCCTAAAACTGAACCCGGACACAGAGTTAACTTGGATTTTCCCGCTTGATAAGGTTATTGTGTTTTGCCGGGTTCACCGAGAATAGATAACTAAATGAAGAAACTTGTGAAACAAACATCCGGGTCAAAAATTATTTGTCTACGAAATTAAACTCCCAATTTAATATGAAGAAGACGAAGTAGCACGACGGGCGCTGTCGATGGTTCCCCAAGACCAACTGCGCCGATCATAATGACACCGTGGCCCGTATATATAAAGGCAGCTATCAGCTGAGTCGGGAAATTCTAGAAATTCACTGGACTATTAATACAAAAATATACTTATTTACAAGTAAATCGAGCAGGGTCAAATATCGAGACTTGCGGCATTTAAATTTTCCACTGGTTCCCATGAACTACATTTACTGGGAAAATCTAGCCACTTTATCAAATACTAAAGTTGATTATTTAAATACGCTCTACCTCAAACCAGTGGCGGTTCTACAGGGGGGGGGGGCTACGCCCCCCCCCCCAAAGAAAAAATTCCATAAAATGTAACAATGTGACATGTAACAATTTGACGGACATAGGAACGGTCTCCCCCTAAATGAGAAAGGTGCATTTTGTACACTTTTAGTTAATATAGTGTGCCTGATTGTAGGATTTTATCAGCGGTCCCCATTGAAAATATGGCACGAGTCACCCCCCCCCCCCACGTATTGATTTTCAGAGGCCTAAGTGTCCGAAAAAAATAACCGGTCTACATTTCAGCACGCCTCCTTGAAACAAAATTATGGATCCACCTTGCTAGGCCCCCAAAAATATTGGCTGTAAAACCGCGCCTGCCTCAAACATTTTCTGAATAATTTTGGGCTACTCCAGGAACATGTTGAATTGGTTCTTTATTTTCCTGTTTAGCTTTCAAAGGTATAAACGAATCATCAGGAAAATTTTACTATACCAAGTCATCTAATGGAATTTGTTGCCTAGGATCAGTGGGGAATTACAGTTGTCGTTTGGGCGAATGTATCGGTCATAGACAAACTTAGTTTACATGTATTGGTGACGAAACCAATTTGATAATCTGCACGTTCTTAATTTGAAAATTCACTGGGCCTGTTTGTTGTACAAGCAGATATGGTCCGGATCAAAACTCCATTAATTTCTTTGGCAACCTTTTTTGGGACACCTGGATATAAATCGATACAAGATCACCAACCTGATAGTCTGCTAATTGTGTGGAACTCACACCATACCGTTCTTTCATTTTACCCTAGTTTTCTTGAGCATGATGTTTTGAAACATCTCGTAACACCTGTAACTTAGAAACTAGATTGTGTTGGTGTTCCCTCAGTGACTTTTCCTGATAACTCAACTTGGGCAAAAGTGTCACACCCAATGGTAATCATGCTTCTCTACCATAAAGCAAGACGAATTTTCTAGAATTACATAATTGAAACGTTCTTATGCTGCATTACACTGAGGATGGTACCTTGATGTGTTCAATTTCTGTGTTTCTATTATCGAACAAACCTCACAATCAATGCTACTTAAAAAAAAATGCATCTCTGTCACTCCATAATGTTACTGGGTTACCGTGTTCACAGATCACAAAATAAACAATGCTCTTGCTATGGTTGATGCATTAATATTTGCCAAAGGTATGCAAAAATAGGTTAACAAGTACAATGATCAGTAAAACAGTAAAGTACCGGTACATAACGGTTCAGCAGTTGTTATTGGAAAGGGGCCCAATACATACACGGACCCTTTCAAACACATTCGGAGCCTTTATGGTAACAAGTGGAGCTAGTTTGGGGGCAATTGATGCCTAGAAAATCTGCGCTATATTTCTATTTAATATCAACCACAGTAACTAAGTTTCCTTGTAGAATGCTATGTTTATGATCGGGTAAGACGGGCATTTGGGGTTACGAAAGGCATTGAAACAGTAATGTAGAGGAGGCCATTCAAAAGTCCAGAACAACTCAGTCTTCAACGAGTGTCTGCGGATTGATGTTTGCATGGACACAGTGCTTTGTTCATAATTGTCTGAACAATTTCGTAGCTATCTGTAATCAAATACATTTAAGATTAGGCCTCAGATTGTATAACTTTTTTGTATTGTATACTGATGTGCTCCATTTGTCATTTTCGGACTATTTATGCGGTTTTGTGTGAAATGTTTATTTTACCAAATTTGAAATATCAAAATGCTTAACAACCGTATATTTCTCATTATAATTTTTTTTTTTTTACGGCAAGCGAAGAGAATCTTGTTCAACACATATAACAATTAACGTTTTCAAGGTATCATAAAATGAGCAAGTGCAGATACATATATTGTAGGCAACTCTGTTTAACATTCACACAATACTATTGTGTTTCTCCCAATGTTATTTTGAGACATGAATTTTCGTAATCAATAACAGTGAAAACGAATCTGGTTTGTGCATCATACTAGTCAATGGAAAACATAAGAACGTTTATTATTTTCTTCGTGGACTCGAATAAATTAACTTGAGTTTCAAGGTACAGTGATTTGAGGGATGTCACCAAACTGGTCCGCATGCTTGGACGTCGCTAAGATGGGCCAATTAAGGGGGACGGGGCGATTGCCTCCCCCCGGAAAAGCAAAATAAACTATTAAAAAGGGGGGGGGGGAAGAGATGTGAAGACATGATATTTGCTATTAATTTAATACACATTTAACAAAATGGGCGTATGCAGCAGTGTCAATGAAGTGGGATGGGCAAATGCTCCCCCGCCCACCCTCGACAAAATGATATATTGAGAATATTCCAGTAGAGAAAGTATATACAAGGATTTTAGGGGGCAATGTGCTTTGCCCCCCCCCCCCCAGGCGCGGTTCTAGAGCCAATACTTTCGGGGGGCTAGCAGGGTGGATCCAGAAATGTTTTCAGGTGCTGAAATGTAGACCAGTTATTTTCTCCGGACCTTTAGGCCTCCGAAAATCAATAGGTGGGGGGGGGGGGAGGCTCGTGCCATATATAAAAATGCACCCTTCTCACGACTTTTTATCTAGGGGGAGACCGTTCGCACGTATTCTTACATTTTGCTAGTGCAATTTTTTTATGCTATTGGTTTTTTTTTGGGGGGGGGGGGCTAGACAAAAAATGGGGGGGGGGCTTATTTAGCCCCTAGGACCCCCCCCCCCCTAGAACCGCCACTGCCCCCCCCCCGACAAAATCCTGGCCAGGCCCATGTCCGCTTGTTTAGACAAAAAAGTAGCCCCATTGTAAATTCATGATTTGTTCACGCCTCATAAAGCAACAGCTATAGTCTTACCGTTTCCACCTGTCGAACTAAGAAAACATAACAGAAAGAAGATCACACCGAAGCGCTTAGAATGTTTCCTACTGGACGTGGCGGTATCCATCTTGCCTCGGTGACGCAGTTAACATGAATGAAAAAAAATACCAAGCGTGAAAATATTGTAATTTATTTACGGATTTATAAGATCCGTCTCCTTTGTTCAACTCAAGGGGTTGAGTAAATAATGACCCATGACAAAACATGCGGTTAAAGTTCACGATTGCTTACCTATTAAGGATGATAGACCCTCCCACTGTGATAAGAAAAGTGTCTATCACCACGCAGACAAGAGAAATGAAATTGTCATGTTATCGTGTGCTTGGATACTGAAATGTAATTGGTCTAGGACGGCAACCTGTCTGGACACTAACAATGCATGTCACAGACTCATCAGGCGGATATCCAATAGATATAGAATAAATATAGATATATAGATTTATATATAGATCGGCAACGGGTACTGACGCGCCATGCATTGTGCAACAAATTGTCGTTCTCTCATGGGCGGCGCCATTTTTCAGCGCGTGGAGCAAACGTGCGTTACGCGCACCTTCACTCCCGTAGGTTTGTGCACAAAAATGTATTTTTATTTCCGTAAAGTAGCATTTTTTTACCAGTTTTTGTTATGTCTGCAACAAAATTTATCATGCTTAATCTAGCTGGATATTCAACTTTTTGAATATTCTTTTTTACCTCGTATTTCCCATTCGTTTTAAAATACTTGTGTACACGTTGCTGATAAGTGTCATGCTTATCTAATTGAATTGAATATAAAACATTATTCAAAAAAGTACGAGTACTTCCGAGTACAAAATGGTCTCCGAGTACTTGTACTTGTACTTCCGAGTACTTGTACTTGTACTTCCGAGTACGAGTACGATTAACTTGTGATACATGTTAATTACTTGTGATACAAACTAGGGATTGACAATTCTTGACAAGCGAACGTGAAAGGTACAACGTGCAAAGTTACGGTGGCCCTGGAACGACATTTTAGTATTGACCTTTTTAATGTGAACCTTGTAACCTCTTAATATTTACGTTGTACCTTCACAATATGCACGTTGCACGTAGCTTAATATCGCATTTTAGAATGTGTTCCTTCTAAATGTGAATGTTCCAACTTGTTAATGTTCACGTTCGATCTTGTCAATGTACACCATTGATCATGCTTGATGTCAACGTTGCATCTTGCTTCTTCGCAATATGAACCATGTACCTTCGCATTGTGAACGTATGACCTTGCATCTTGTTAATATCATTGTTGAACCGTCCTCCGCAATGTGAATCATGCATTCTAAAAAGTACGAAGTCCTTGCCAAGCCCTATAGTTAGACAACCAGTTATGATGGAGTTTCAATCTGACGGCTGTTTAATGTCACTTAACCCGCCCATGGGCGTCTACCTTGTAGTGATTTTTATCATGACTCAAGGCTCTCTGTTTTATTTCACTTATCTTTTATAATTCATGTTCAGGCTTACCATAACCCACATGCATCCTGAAGCAAATTTGTCATTGTTTCAAATAACCCGATATAATCATTTCAACCGTTTACTGTACACAAATTTATACCGGTTTGCTTTCTGAATGTAATGATTTCTTCTTCCTGTACTTTCATCTTTGCCATATCCCAATAATTTTTGACTCGCCAACAGGGCTACTTACCAAATAGTATGAGGAACCCCGCTGTTTTGACGAGCATTTGGTTTTCGGGCTACTGCTAAGTCGAACCCTACATACCCCCCCCCCCCCCCCCGGATATCCGCGCCTGACCGCAACATGAAGAATATTCGCAATTGGCTGACGACCAGTCATGTATGCATGAACTCCAAGCAACACGTGATTCGCGCTCAACGCAACGGTGCGGTCGTGATGCAGCGCTCTCTCGCGGTGGCGGGTTATCGCTGCAGCGGGTAATCGCGCATTCAACCATAAAAAGGTCTAGCCCCTAGACAAGCTCGAGTATGTTGCAGGTGTATGCACTGAATAAACAATTAAATAATTGACAGAAGCCACCTGTGCCCCGCGCGCTATCGCTTTTACAATGATTGACGGGATTGACGTGACCGTTGGTGAAATCCCCGATATTTCCCCGAAGGAATCAATGTATGCCCTTACTATTGTTGTCATGCTTTATAAGACGTGGATATTATTTCGAAACGGTACCACCGCATATAAATGATGTTCCTTTCAATTACATCTTTAGATCATACTCTTATACTAATTAAATACGTGGATCTCGATGGAAATCTCTCGTAACTATGATTAAAAACACAAAAAAAATCTAAATAGGGCTTGAAGGATGTAAAGTATTATGATAAAAGCCTTCTTAACGTGATCACAGAACACTGTTTTGCATTATTGTAATTGACGGAGAGAATACCGTCAAGAAATTAATTAGTCTCATGAATTGAACACATCTTTTCTAGTGAAACAGCGCTCATTAGCCTGAACATGAATTATAAAAGATATGTGAAATAAATCAGAGAGCCTTGATTCATGATAAAAATTACTACAAGGTAGACCCAGGTTAAGTGACATTAAACAGCTGTCAGATTGAAACTCCATCATAACTGGTTGTTTAACTATAGGGCTTGACAAGGACTTCGTACTTTTTAGAATGCATGATTCAACAATGATATTAACAAGATGCAAGGTCAAACGTTCACAATGCGAAGGTACATGGTTCATATTGCGAAGAAGCAAGGTGCAACGTTGACATCAAGCATGATCAATGGTGAACATTGACAAGATCGAACGTGAACATTAACAAGTTGGAACATTCACATTAAAAAGGAACAACTTCTAAAATGAGATATTAAGCTACGTGCAACGTGCATATTGCGAAGGTACAACGTCAATATTAAGAAGTTACAAGGTTCAAATTAAAAAGGTCAATATTAAAATGTCGTTTCAGGGCCACCGTACAAAGTGGCAGATTAAAACGTACGTGTACCTAATTAGTCTGCATCCCTGATATGACAACCCTGGGTCTGTGTTTATGTCTGTGGGCCTGACGCCGGAAGCAGACCAGGGGCCGTTTTTCAAACCCCGGCTTCGGCACCGTCTCTTTCTCCATTCATGCAGGTTGGCAACGGGGCTGGATCCGGATTCCGAAACCGGGGGTTAGGAGAAAGGCCTTGCTTCAATCACCCAAGTTGATCGAACGAGGAACACCTCGGCGTTTCACGTACATGATTGGGCATTGTGCCCACATACGGCAAATGGCTCATTGTGCGTAATTGGCCCAGGCCCAGTCAGACCGATTTACAGAGCCACTCACGGCTATAGCTGTTAATTGTGTTTGTTCTGCCATGCGCAGACTGAGGCAAGTCAGGAAACTTCGATTTCTCCGAAAGCCAATCAACCATTTCAAACTGAAAGTATCGATAAAATAAGGCGGTGGTTTAAGCTGTACCCCTTTTTTTTTTTCGAGTACTGCCATTCGAATATACGAGTACCTTAATGATCGAGTACAATTTCGACATGTCGATTACGAGTACTTTGCTGCCCGAGTACGAGTACCTTCATTTCGAGTACGGGTACTTTGACATTCGAGTACGAGTACTCTAAAATCAAGAGTACTCGAGTGGTACCGGTGCTCGAGTACGAACATTGTTTATATGATATTGGTCTATCTCTGTGCCGAATTTGGCACGTTTAACACAAAATGCACTATAGGTTAATTTGCTGTTCCAGCCACTATACAGCCGTTTTGAGTGATACAGAGGTAGGGTAATCAAAAATGGATATATTGAGCTCGATTTTCAAGACAGAAAGCCTATCTACCTCTAAAACCAAGCCTTGTGGTTAATGCAGTTGTAATTACAAATAAAGTGTTTTTTAAGAAACGATATGAGTTTAGAACTCATTGCTGTCCACAAATCGGGCACAGGCACATTTTTGGGGGGATGTTCTCGAAGCAATACAGGGTGAGTGAAACAAAAACCGAAACCCAAATGGCAGGAACAATTTTCGAATCAAGTTTTGCCTGTAGCACTTTTAAAATGTAGAATATAGAAGCCCAATCCATAAGCTTTCTTTTAGTACATGAATCATTCAGATCACTCATGTACTTTTCAGGTTGGGAATTCTGAACACAAAGACCGCTTTAAAGTTCTGTCGACGGATCGCAAAAAAGTAAGTGTTCTTTCAGCAAAATGAAATCGATTCACACACATCACTATGTGAATTGTTTTCGTCTTGCTGAAAGAACATTTACCTTCATTCAGGAATCGGTCCTGCCATTTTTTTACTCACCCTGTATACCCCTCGACAACACGAATGTGAATAAACTTAGGACTAACTAAATTTTTTCTTGTTTACCTATCCTATCAAGATGTTAAAAAGTGACAACAGGCCATGATGGGACCCTTTTTGAGAGAGCAGTGGCCCAATATATGATTTTTTTTAAAATAAGCTCCAAATATAACATGTTTTTTTTGTTACTGGAAGGCAAAAAATACCGGCTGTGCGACTTAAGAGCACCATCTTTAGATTGTAACGCGCGCAAATAAAGGCTGCGGCGAAAATAAAACATTCGGGCTGTTTGTCATCCTAACAAACAAAAGTTCCATGAAGAAAACACTGAAAAATTAAGTAATAGAATTCTAAAAAAAAGAAATTAATCAAATTAAACAATTTAACCAAATAAACAAGAAAAAAAATCAAAATGTTAAATGAAAAGTAAACAAACAAACAAACAAACACTTAACTGGGTATAAATCAACTTAAACGGAATAACAAGAAACAAAATTAAACCCAAAACAAAACACCCAGAAATACCAAACAAAATAATGTTACAATCTCCTCCGAGTAAATCACGCAATTTTTACTGTCTTCAACTCTTCCACTTTTCAACTGAATTCCTCAAATCAAATCCGGCCAAATCAAATCTCCAAGTCAGATTTTCCAATCAAATCTCAAAATCAATACTTCAACTCAAATCAATACTTCAAATCAAATCTCAAAATCAATACTTCATTTCAAATCTTCAAATCAATACTTCAACTCAAATCTTCAATTCAATATTTAACAAAGTAAGGTGGGCCCACCAATATATTCGTGAATCACGCGTTTGCTGGCTCCCTCCGGTTGGTTCCCGGTTGCTCCTTGGACTTGAATGTCTAACCTTCCAGAGACTGGGCAGCTCTCCGTCTCAGTTATTTCAAGCAGGCGCCGTCTGTGCTTCGGCTCTCCATTGTGCTTGGGGTAAAGGCTCTTGGGATCGGCAGCATCAATATGGGCCCATCATGCTATGTAGTCCGAAAATTTGGGTCTCTCAATACTGTGTATGAGAGTCTCAAAACTTAAGGTATTGAAAACATGCAAAACAAGAAAATAGACTGGCACCTTAAACAACCAGTCCAACACAGCTTCATTACTGCATCAATCAACCATGCCAAAAGAATTTAAGAAACATGTGGCTTGAAGCGGGAACTAGTCTCAATTTACTACACATTTCTCCATAGTCAAGCCACCAGACTATTGACACTGAATGAAGAGGTCAGTCTTTTCAAATAATTGGACCATGGTTGGACGGGTACCAGTCTAGTATTTAGCCACATTTTGGAATCACTTGACTTCCTTCTCATGTGCAAAATATTGAAGAAAAGTCTCCTTTTAAAATCAAATGAGTCTGCAAACTTGGTTGGTGAAATACAGAGGACATTTTCTTTGCCCCAGTGGAATTGTTGGAGAAATTTGCTCTTGGGGGAGACCGTTCGCATGTATGTCACATTCTTACATTCTGCTAGTGCAATTTTTTATGGAATTTTTTTTGGGGGGTGCTAGACAAAATTAGCCCCCCCCCCCGCTCCCCGTACAACCGCCACTGGAGAGATGTTTTTGACAAATCTTTATTTACGAACAAAATAGACTTCGCCAGTGTCGCTTGAGGAAACATTTAACAATGTAAGGCGAAGTTTTATTCACTAAATATAAGAAATAAGAATAAAAATTAACGAAATTCACATAAGTTCTGACATAGATGTCCCAATATTTACTACAACAGAAAATGATATTGAGATTAATCATAACACATTTGCGATTAAATGGCCTTATCCCAGGGACTTAATTTTTCCCGGGGATTTTGGCGTTTCGGGAATCAAGGGGTCAATATCTGAAAATGCTCAAGCAATATCATCGGGTACTTCCTGTATTTTTGAAGAGCTACCCCCAAGCTTCATGAATCTTCGGAGAAAAAACCCAAAAACTTTACCCGGCAAAACCAAGTTCGTGTAAATAGCAGCCTGTGCCCTAGTCTGAGCATCACCCGCATCATCAAAGCATGCAGATTTATGCAAGCCGCGCGCCAGCCAATCGGAGTCGACTTTACTAAATCGTGACGTCATTTCATCCCAAAATCAGGACTAAGGCTGTGATTGGTCAATTCGAATGCAGCGTTTTGTAATACAACAACAGCCGGGAGCGCATTCGCGTAACATGATACCGAGCGCCGCGCCCCGTGACATTTTTTTAAATCCATGTCTATGACGCGCAACGGGCGAACGACCGAAGACCCGATAGACCTATAGAAAGCGCCTTCTGATTGGTCAAAATCTAGGAAGTCAAGAGGCGGGGTCTTGCTTAATTAATCAGCAAATCTGTTCGCGCGTAATTGTTGGCCGCATAAGATCCAATGGGGATCATGCTACCGCTCCTTGGGCTGATTGTTTTCGGCGCGCCCGTCCTTCCTTGCGCCACTTCTTCTCCGCCGCATCTGCTCCCTCATGGACTGCTTTCCGCCACGCTCCCCTCACAGCACATAGCTCCTCCACTCCGCGTTCCTTGATCTGGCAGTGTGGTAGGTCGTCCCGTACGTGGTCTTGGAAACGGAGTAGAGGTCTTCCACGAACTCGGGCTCCAGTGCTGACTTCACTGAAAAGAGTCCTCTTGGGAAGACGGTCTTGCGGCATCCTACAGACATGTCCAAACCATCTGAGCCGGCACTCTGTGAGGATGGTATGCATGCTTGCACCTTCAGTGCATTTCTCTTGCAGCTGTCGTAGGGTGAATACCATGTCGATCGTTGACCTGTTTGACCTAAAACCGCACTGACTCTCTGGGTAGATGTACTCACCCAAAACTTGAAGCCTCTTAAGCACAAGCCTAGCCACAGCCTTCCCAAACACATTCAGCAGGGAGATCCCGCGGTAGTTGTTGCAGTCGGACGTATCCCCTTTGTTCTTATACAACTGTATTAACTGAGCATCCTTGAGACACTGAGGTACCTGCCCACGTTGCCAGTAGCTGACGACCGAACGATGGAGTTGCAGCAGGGTAGAGCTGTGCGGTACAGCCAGGACTTTGATGATTTCTGCTGGTATGCCGTCAGTACCTGTAGCTTTGTTGTTGGAGAGATCGTTGATGGACCTCAAGAGTTCCTCCACAGTGGGGACGGGGTCCAGTTCAGACAGACATGGCAGGTCTGGAGGTTGGTCTATTTCTTCAAGATCGATGACGGGTTCACTGCCATACAGAGCACTGTAGTGTTCAGTCCATCGCTGGAGCTGCTGGTCCGTGTCAGTGAGGAGATTTCCCTGGAGGTCCCTCAGCGGTGCTACCTTCCTTCTGGTTGGGCCGATCGCAGTCTTGATGCCGTCATACATCTCCCGGAGGTTTCCGGTGTCTGCCGAGACCTGGATCTTCTGGCAAAGGTCCAGCCAGTACTGGTTTGCACACTTTCGAGTTTCCCTGTGCAGATTCTGTCGGGCAGTCTTGAGTCTGGCAAAATTTGAGCGAGTTGACACCTCTCGGTACCTGAGCAGGGCCTTCCGTTTGTCCTCCACGAGCGGCAGCAGATCTTTCGTAAACCAGTCCTTTCCGTTTCGTGGTTGGGATCCAAAGTGCCTCAAGGCCTGCTCATACACGATCGAACTGATGTCCTCCCAATCCTCTCCGCCGGATTCGCTAACTGCCTTGAGGAAGCTGTTGACCTTTTCCGGGTTCTTCACCCCCTCCCGGTCGATCCGTTTCCGTCCCGCCTGCTGTGACTTGTGCAGCTTTTTCAGAAATGTCCGAATCTTGCAGAGGACAAGGCAGTGGTCTGTATCCCCATCAGCAGAACGAATCGCTCTCGTGTGGAGAACCTCCTTAAGAAGGCTCCTTCTGCAGAGAACCAAGTCTAGTTGGTGCCAGTGCCGTGATCTTGGGTGCTGCCAGGTGGTCTTGTGTGAGATCCTTCCGGCAAAGTAGGTATTAGTAACGCACAGACGCTGGGCCACACACAACTCCAAGACACGCTGACCATTGTTGTTCATTCTACCGACACCCTGATTGCCGTGACAGTCGGGCCAGTTCCCATAGTCATTCCCAACTCTGGCATTAAAGTCCTCCAGTACCAACAGCGAGTCTCGTGCTGGAACGTGGCGAACCTCATCCTCCAAGAGCCTGTAGAAGCTGTCCTTCACGTCCTCGTCCGTCTGCAGAGTCGGCGCATATACACTGAGCAGGGACAAGTAACCGCTTTCAGTGTGAATCCGGATCCTCATCAGCCGTGAGGAGATGCCCACAGGAGTATCTATGTGCTTCAGCAACACCATGCAAAACCAACACCATGCATTTGAGCTTCTGTTTCAGCCTTGCCATTCCAAAAGAGTGTGTAGTCCTTCACTTTGATGCTGCCCGTCTCCAACCATCTGGTCTCTGACAGAGCCACAATGTCCATATCCAACCGGGTGAGTTCATTGTTGAGAAAAATCGTCTTCCTAGGTTCAAAATCGCTATCCAAAAGCCGTGGTCTTGGTCCAGTCCAGTTCAGTGTCCGTATATTCCATGAGCCGATCCGAAGAAAAGAATTGGTTGTGTCAGGAAGAAGAGGTGGAGTTGACTGTTTGACCCTCCTTTTATCGGGCCCTCCACAGATTGTGGCGAGCAGGCCACCCGTAAATACGGCTGCTCGGTCGCTGCAGCAGGACACGAAGTCTCCCTATACCCCGCTTGGAATGACGACGGCCTTCACACTGCAACCTTCGGCGCGGACGCCTGGGCAACATAGAGAGCACGTGCTTGCCCAGAACACATGTTCCCCTTTAAGGACCGACTCGGTGAACTCAGCGGCAGATGAATCCGACAGCTGCACCAAAAAGATCCCGTAGCTTTTTGCAGAGTGTGCTCTCTGGAGGATGGCCGTTGGCCCATAGGAGCTCATCCGCCCTTGACAGGTCATATTTCATCCTGCTGAGTGTCCCCACACCCTAGAATAGGTGGTCTGGGTTTGAAATCAGAGTTTTCCTTCTCCTAGGTGGGTTGCCTTCCATGGCTTACGAGCCCCACCTGCCCGGGTTTGAAATCAGAGTTCCTTCTCCTAGGTGGGCTGCCTCCCATGGCTGACGAGCCCCACCTGCCCGGTAATAACGTCGCGCGTAATAGACCACGGCGAATTACATAGACTATCTGTGCCCAGTGGCATCGTATAGTGATGTATTTTGCCCCTGCATAGATACGATATGGTTTACTTCGAGTTCCAGAAGACATATGCTGTTGTGTTCCTGTAATGGCCAGGACTTGATAGGGCTTACATGTATAAGGTTTTGAAATTTGGAACAAACGATGCATTATAGCCATACTTGGTATAGATAATTTTCTTTTTTTTCTAATATTAAGCGTTAAAGATCGAAATGGACCCAAAAAATGAAATTTGCATTATGACAATTGATGCATGAGTAATTTGTTTCCAAACAAGATGAGCCATAACACATTGTACATCGGATACTTTTTGTTTCTTTGACACTATTGTCTTTTTTTTCTCCTGAGAACAAACGTCTCCGTTTTCCCATAAGAACCAGGAAACAACGAGCTACGCGAAGTGGGCAGACACAGAAAATCAAGTTTTGATTGGTGGACATGTTTCAGCTGTCTTAACTTATTAACTTTAATGACATTAAAATTCAACTCCACAAGACGTTATTTACGATGGGGTTGGATATACTTAGGCCTATACGTTTCACTCTCGTTTACTTGTTTATACGATCACATGAACTACAAACCCAATTCCTGTTAAAAGCAACAACCTGGTTTATTAAACATCATCGTGGCGGCACATGCCAGATTAAGATGACAATACAATGTAAACCATTAGTATAGAAACAAACATCTATTAATACGTAATCATCACAAAAATACAATGAGATATACGATCTCTATTTAAAGGGAATGTACAACATTGCTTTAATAATTTGCTGTAACTTTCAGAAATAAATGGATTTGGAGGAATAGTATGTTATAGCAAATATTGTTACACTGACTTGTTTCACGTTTTGGGTTCATAGATGCTGAAAAAAAACAAGTAAAAACCAATCATGTTTATAAAGTCTTCTACCCTGACCCCACTTAAGATGAAACGGAGCAATTTATAGATGTTGGGGATTTATTAGGTCAGAGAATCAGTCTTGCTGGTTTGTACACCTTCACAGGTGTGTAATCAATTGCACAGAAAATGCAGAATAAATAACTAAATATGAAAAATGTGCAGCAGTTTTTTGAAAAAAAAAGTTTTCTCCATGCTGGTCGGCCGACCAGCATTGGAAATAAATACACGAATACCGATTTACTTAAAAATGTCACACAGTCACAGGAGCCATGATTTTACAGGATGCTTTAGACTGTCATTCCCTAACTGTCCAGTAAAAAATTTCGAGATAATTTGATCATTTTGTTTTTTAATGTTTGCAAATGTTGTATCTTCCCTTTAAATTCCTAAAAGCAAAACCTTAGGAAGTGTTAATGATTAAAATACGATTGAGGAAGTACAACACAATGGCGTTACGGTACTTCCCACAAGATGCTTGCGATACAGAAACAGGAACGGAATGTGATAATAAGCCCATGAATGTGTGCGTAGCCAATTCGAGTGTACATACAGAGCACAGATCCACCAATATGGCACGTTTTGTAGCGAGTTTTATGCGGCAGCGTAGAACCTGTTCAGGATCGCTGGGTATATTTTGGTTAGGCATAGCTCTACTTTGTAGCCTCTCCGGGTGTCTTGCTGCGAAAGGAGACGAGGATGCTTGCAAAATCTGCTACTGCTATAAGACAAAAGTGGATTGCAATGGGAAAAATCTGTCATCTGTTCCATCTGGGATACCACACGGCACAACCTCGCTGTAAGTTGAAGTTCGTTTTCTGCAGTTTGGGCTTTGCACACAAGTTTTCCAATCGCTCATGTACTTTCCAGTTATGGAATGTCAAACAAACTTTTGTCCCCGGATCACATTGAATGTAGGCCTCAGTGGCGTAGCCAGGAAGTTTCAGTGGGGGGGGGGGGGGGGGGGGGGCGCTGGAACATTTCATGGGGGGGGGCGTCATGTAGGGACGTCAATCGCTTCTCAAAAGTTGGGGGGGGGGGACATACCTTGATCAGAACTGATGCGCGAAGCCCTAGCTTACGTCGTGAGGGTTCGGGGCCCGCTTAAGGGCCCCGAAAAAAAATTGGATTCTAGATGTTCTGTAGTGTGATCTGAAGCAATTTCTTACCATTTTCCTCCATGCTTTAACTAATATTTTCTTAGCAAAAGATAATTATTTGAACATCGTTTTCGAGGTTGGAGTCATTGAATCAGCTATCGGTATTCTGAGCTATAGGCGTGGGGTTCGGGGCCCGCTTAAGGGCCCCGAAAAATTTTGGATTCTAAATGCTCTGTGGTGCTATCTGAGGCAATTTCTGACCACTTTAACAAATATTTTCTAAGCAAAAGATACATTGTAGTACATAATAGGGCCCTGTAAATGAGACACGAGTTCAAAAATCTGGGGGGGGGGGGACATTTGATATTGTGTCCCCCACCCTTCAAAAAGTGTGGGGAGGGGGGACCAGTCCCCCTGTCCCCCAGGATTGACGCCCATGGCGTCATGTAGATCAATGATAATTGTTTTAGAAACTCAAAATCTCAGGGGGGGGGGGCGACTGGGGGGCGACAAGGTTTCATGAGGGGGCGGTCGCCCCCCCCCCCCACGCCCCCCCCCCCCCCCGGTGGCTAAGCCACTGCCTACGTGATAAGTAAAATGAAACCGTGTTGTGTCACGAACACAAAACCGGAAAATCTCTCAATATTCCAAAGAGTGAAATTAGGGACTAGACGTTTTATAGTGAAAATCACTCTCATTTTGGATAGAAAAAGTCTGATAAAAGGACCACTTCAGTCGAAGCTCGAGTAAAAACTCGCTCTTTACGATTGAAGGAATTCCTCTCTTAAACGTCTTGTCCCTAGTTTCCGACTTTGGGAGTGAATTTTCACTCGCATGGAGTGAATTTTCACTCTTTAGAATTTAGAGAGTAATCCCGTAAGTCTCCAGAGTAGCCAGGTAGAAGGCAGGGCAAGACTTTATACTCTTATAAAGCATGCTTTTCAACGTTGGAAGCGGAAGAAGTTTAAATAAAGGTTATGATAAGTGTCAGTTATCATGGTTATTATATTTATAGTGTTCTGATTTTTTATGTGAATTGTCTTCGTTTGCTAAAAAAAAATCACTTACCTTTATAAACTTGAGGACGAGTCCCCCAACATTTACTAACACGGCGCTTGCTAATCATGGTTAAATCCGTCATTGATCAGACATATATTGTATGACAGGACATCATGATTATATTTCAGAAAACTCAAAGACAATTTGTTGACGAACATACAGAAGGACGACTTCAAGAACCTCACCGAACTTCGGTACTTGTAAGTATCAAATGAATTTCCCGATGCAAAACCTCATTTTCGGGATTACACCAGATTATTTTTTCAAAATGTCGCGCATTCGAGTCCATCACAAATCAGACCCAATCAGCTCACAAACTGTTCGCTTCAGCTTTAAAACAGGGATATAATCAATTCAGGTTTTCCCTTGTCATTGTTTAATGTTTATCCACTGTTATCACTGGCGTGTGGTTTACCTGTGATTAATTAATGTTCAATTTTTCTTAATTCATCATCATTGACCATTCACCATTAATTAAACAATTTGTTTTGTTGGCAAACTGCTGCCACGGCTATTTAATATCTTTCCGCACACAGAAGGCCAGATTCATGCTGAAGATGAATTGCAATCCCATATACAGGGCGAGTCAAAAAAGCGGAAGCCAAACCCCCCAAACATATACTTCAAATTTAAAAATATGTTGCACCAAAATTGATAATGACTGGAAAGCCAATTCATAAGCTACTTTTAGATGAAATATGCTTTAATCATTTTTTTTTTGGGGGGGGGGGGTGGGTTTCGCTTTTTGTACAGCTTTTCTTACTGTCCCAATGCTTTCTTAGCCAACTAGAGGTCTCAGTGTTTTTCCCAGAGACAAAACTCTTTTTTTCGGTAATAGGCTGTTTGGTCTCCTAATTCGTATAAATGCACCAGCAGAAAAATGTAAACGCAATGAAGTGTGTTCCCTCTTGAACCCCATGCAGGACTTATCAGTCTTGATGGCATCGGGAGAAATTAGCCCCGATTCGCTGTTTGTAAGAATAACTTAAGAATGAAACACAAATAATCAAGAACTAGGTGCGAAACGGAAACCGAATCAGACTGAACCAAGCCGACTGATTGCGATATCAATCAATCAACATTTATTTCGATAATGCCAAAAAAAAGAAAACAAGACAATGTAACAAAATAAAGTAACAAGTACATTGTAATCTAATTAAAGTCATATTATTATAGATATACATGGAGATAACTAAGCAAGAAAGGACCATAGAAACATGGCAATTATGGGGGCTTCTTCCGAAGCCGGGGGCTTATATGGAGATGCCTTGACAAAACAAAGCCGAAATGACAACTTGACAAATACAGAGACATACAAACAATCGGACAAACGCAAATATAATACACATGCGATTAAAACATACTGTACATAATTATATATGGATACAACAAAAACGATAATGCCATAGTGAAATGTTCGTGCAACTACACGCAGTCAAAATCAAAACAATACAGAAACGTTCAAGTAAACACAAGAAAGTGAACAACGAATTGATCACGAAACAAAAAGAACAATCAAGTAGGGAGCCAAATCAAAAATGTTCATACGAAAGATAACAAGCTGAACGATCAAATGACAAAAAAAGAATTACTCGGCGAAGAAAATAAACTGTTAATGAGACAATCATGCAATGGTGAACATATATACCAGCAAAAAAAAAATGACATGAAACAGTAAACCTTAAAAAAATAACGAGCATATCACATAACAGTAATTATTGCAAGGGGACTATAGAAGTAGTATTATAGAAGAGAAAAAGAAATAATTGTAAGTAGGAAGGAGACTATGATATGTAAAGCCCCCAAAAAATACGTCGGTCTCTGGTCAGCGCGCGCGTCGATTTTAATCATGCGCGTCAATCTTTTTTTTCCAAAATGTTCCGCGGTAGCTCCAACAGCGCCCTCTATTGCCGCACCTCCTCATTTTTTTTTTATCAAAGAGCACCAAGGGATGGGAAATTGCACCAAGGCAAATGATCGAGAGCACCAAGGCAAATTATGGAGGACACTAATGTTCATGAGGACACCAAAAAAGCAAAAAAGGACCCCACCTTGTCCGAGTGTACAATCCAAGCTTGAAGGGGAAAAAAAAAAAGCCGCGTCCCCGCGTAAATTCCGGATCTTTGGTCTCACCAGAGACCGAATATTTTTTTGGCCTAACGGGAGATGAGATATTCTTTGTACCCAGATTTGAATCTGCCAGCAGAAGACTTTGTTCTCAAAGCTGTATCTAAGCTGTTCCAAAGATGAGGGCCATGGAAACGATGAGTGCTCATGTAGAAAGTTGTACGAGAGAATGGGACATAGAGATTATTTCTGAAAAGTGTGTTATATTCATAAAGGTCATGCACAGAAGTGAAAAAGGTTGAAAAACTTGAGGTAAAATTTTGTTAGAGTACTTAAACAAGAAAATTCCTGTTTGAAGTTTGTTAATATCCGTGAGCGTTAGTGTGCGAAGTTTTGCGAATAGAGGTGCAGTAGGATCTCGTGGTTGTGAGAGGGTGCAGAGTCTGATGGCCCGCTTCTGCATGACAATAAGGGAGTGGAGTTGGTTAGTACTGGATCGTGCCCTTACAATATTACATTAATTAAGGTACGGAAGAATGAATGTATTGTAAAGAGTGAAAAGAGTTGTTGATGTCAGAAAGGTGAGAAGCTTGGAAAGAACACCTGTATTGCGGAAAACGATTTTGGTAATTGAGGAAATGTGGTCACTCCAGGTAAGGTGATCATTAATCACAACACCTAAGAATTTGGTACTGTGAGCGACCGATATTGGTGTACCATCGAAAATGGATGGAAGAGAATTAGGAGAAGAACTGGCTTTATGAATGAACAAACATTTTGCTTTGCTTGCATTCAGAGACAGTTTGTTGGTTTTAAACCACGACGACACCTTGATAAGTTCTGCCTTGAGGATATGTATTACAGATTCAAAATTAGAATTAGAGTAGATGATAGTGGTGTCGTCTGCGAACAACAGAAAAAAAAGTAAAGAAGAAGAATTATTCAGATCAGTAATTTACAGCAGAAAGAGAAGGGGGCCAAGTACGGACCCTTGAGGTACTCCATGCGTAATGTCGCTTCAGCTGGAAGATATTTATGGACCACAGTAAATTGCTGTCTGCCTGTCAAGTAGCTCTCAAACCAGTCGAGAGTATGTCCTCTAATTCCATAGTAGTTGAGTTTGGAAAGAAGAATGCCGTAATCGATTGTGTCAAATGCCTTAGAAAGGTCGATGAAGATACCTGCAGTTGAAAGTTTGTTGGATAAAGACCTAGAAATAATGTCAGTAAGATGAATCACTGAGAGCCATGTCCATGTTTTGTGGTTGCAGGAATTGATGATGGCATTGGTGATCCATGGTGGCTTGGTCTTTTTATCACCTGTCCTTTTGGTTACAAATGGAAAATGATAATAATATGAATCAAGAAAATGGTTCATGAAAATATCATAGGCCCAATCAGCCTGTTGGCACTTAAAAAACCTCTGTCCAGTCCATGGACGCGATACCTGCAATAAAAGAGCAAAGATTGCTATTATTGGTATCTCTAGTGGCTCAGGAGATCCAAATTGAAATCTCCTATCACATAGCACAGTTTCCTCTCCGAAGAAATTGAATTAAGACAAGAGTCAAAAGATCGTTGAAAGTTATCGAGGTTGGTTCCAGGAGCTCTATAGACATTTTTGACAATCAAATTACGGGCACAGTTGCGTTCAATTTCGATAAACACACATTCATAGTCATCAGAAGGTGGCATAAGATCATCTCGAATATGGAATCTCAGAGAACAATGGATGAACATGGCCGCTCCCCCTTCAATCTTATTTGAGAGAGATGAATTCACAAGTTTGTAATCAGGCATTGTAATGTATGGAGGAGGAGATTCCCTGAACCATGTCTCTGTAAATCCATAGATGGAAAAGGAACGATTCAGAGTGGACAGGTAATCTTGAATGTCGTGGAAATGTCTACAGAGACTCCTGGAATTCATGTAAAAAACAGAAAAACAATCGTCTCAAGCTACATCGAAATTATTATATCCGTACTTTTCTCGCGACTTTGTAATGATTTGGCATGTTTCTGGACTGTTAACACACAAAAAATAACTCAACGAAACTTGTAAGAATGCTGTAAAAATACCCAGCATGTTGTAAGAATATCCAGAATTAGTTATGAATACAACAAGCGTAAATCAAGAATTGATTTGGTTCACGTATCAACCCGACAATTGTGAACATGTCCAAAAATGTCGGGGGCTTCTCGATCTTTAACAATCTTTCACAGAGCTAACAGTATCATCCCGCGACAGCCAAGAACCATTTCCCGAGTTACTCAAGAATTGCTTTTCGCGGTGATTCGGCTTAACATCGAAAATGTGAGACACAAGCATAAGCAGTGCGTTCGTACTTCCTCTGCGCTTAAGCGTGCAAGCGCGAAAGCGTTCGATTTACCTTTCACGTGACTTCTCGCGCTTACTCGGATAAGTATCCCATAAGGCCATGCAACGTCCGGCGGGCGCCTCAGCTCAGGCCGTGTCCGAAACGAGCTTCCACGGAGCATAGAGCTAGCGACAAACCCTATGTAGCTCTATGCACGGAGCTACGGCTACGAACTGTCAGCGTGTCAAAATTCAACTTTCCAGCCATGGGCGTCGCGAGGGGGATAAGGGGGCGCATCAGCCCCTCCCCCCTTCTGGACAAGACAAACAAAAAAACCAAAAGGAGAAAAAAAAGGGGGGGGGAATGTCCCTGCCACCTTCTAAACTGATAAATCGAGAGTATGTTGAGAAATACATAATTTTTTGGGGAAAATATGTTTTGCCCCTCTAGAAAAAAATCCTGGCGACGCCCATGTTTCCAGCTCTTGCACGAACGAAACTTTACCCGAAACCGTTCGCTAATTTAGCTCCACAGCGCATGTCTGTCATCACGCGAGGAGCCACGCGTGAGCCATGCGCGAGTAAGCTGGGGGAGCATGAGCTTGGCCCGATTAACGAATCCTCAGTGCTGCGACTTCGAATGTTAAAAACATTGGGGAGGCGGGAACTAGACTAAGCCGTAATACAGACTGCAACCGCGCGAGCATTGCGTTACAGGTTGAGCTACTCGAGTACAAACGAGTACAAATATGAGCACTCCAACACTGACTGCAACCACAGACTTGATTTCGAGTAGGCAATTCTGGGGCGGCTCCCGTTGTTCAGGGGAAATTTAGTTATGGGAGCTGGAAAGGTGATACATTTTCTTTATTTTTTTCTGAAGGACTGTCCGTTTCTTCTGTTCCAAAGAGGTTATAGGTTAGCCCCCAACACCACGACTAACTCTATCACACATTTCTTTAAGAATACGTGAAACACAAGGTAGTTGTATCATTAAACCAGTGTATATTGACTGACTGCGATTTAATTTTTCCTATGGCATACAAACCGAAGCATGTTGGACCGAAATTTCTTTTGCAATAACTTACTAGTGCTGCAGTAATGTTTTATAAGACAATTCATCTGACAAAGTAGATTCGAACAAGTCGACCATTGCAATAAATTTGTCATGATAATATCCAAATAACAATTCATAACCAACCTCTCAAAGCCATCACTCACCCCTACCGAGAAAATAGCTTGAAGTAAAAGATCCAACTTTGTTCCCAACCCGGCTATACCAACCCGTCTCCCACTTATCTGAGAACGACAATACCTTTGACATCCTAATTTCACTCTTGGATGAACCAATCTCATCCAAATGAGGTTGTAAGTGTCACATACCAGATAAATTTTGACGGAACATTTCCTCCAAGTGAGTTCCTTTTAACTCAGTGATCCATACCTACGGATTCTTTTGAATCCAGCGGCTGATGAGTCCCCGAAGGAACGAAAATGCCTTCCCGCTATTGCCCTCATGCAGGTAAAACCTAACCCACCCCACTGCCTGGGTAAACTTGGCTACGGTCAAAACTTCCATTGATTTCTCCCTCCTATTTCTACCCACATTTTGAGAACCCTTTCATGCGTCTCAATTGAATAAATAAACCACACAATGTCACACCCTCGAATAACTCAATGTGTTGTTCTTACGCACATTTTTTATTCACAAGCCAATCTATAGTGACTACGCAGAGATCCTGGCACAATACCCCGCTAACTTTCCCGAGAAGATTTCTGGAACAAAGCTCCGACCCCAAGACATGTACAAAGTAGGGTTCTTGGTTTTGACAGCTTTCTCCAGTAGGGTGATCTGCTTGTTCAGGGAGACTCGATGCGAAACAAGTTGTTGGAGGGGCACCGCTAGTTTTCGGACAAATCTGTAGTCCTTATTTTCTAGACGATGATTCCTATTTGTTTGCTGTCTGTCTTTTGTTCTGGGTGCCGGTTTGTCCTTACTTTTTGGGTCTCTTAATGAGATCTGACTGATGGAAGTTTGCGCTTCCTGGGCCAGAGTATGTAAGAGAGATTCACTGTTTTCAGACAAGTCTGAATCAGAGAAGTCAGTTTCGGGTATAACCTGCGCACATGGGAACAGGGAACTGGATGGGCTTGAATCTTGGCTTGACATGATGTTGTCGGATGACCAAAAGAGTGCCCCTAGCTTTGTATACATGCCTGTGAAGCGGACGTGGGCTAGACCACAAAGGACAGTGTCCCTTTGCGTGTGTATGAATGAATGGCTGGTCGGTGTTCAGTGGTGCGTATCTCAGTGGAAGCTCTGGGTTCGGTGTCGAATGGCGGGAAAGTTGGCGTGTGTGTGCGCCAGGATCTTACCGTGGTCACTGGGGTGGAACATGTTGGTAAAACCTAACCCACCCCACTGCCTGGGTAAACTTGGCAACGGTCAAAACTTCCATTGATTTCTCCCTCTTATTTTTACCCAACTTTTGAGACCCCTTTCATGCGTCTCAATTGAAGAAATAAACCACACAATGTCACACCATCGAATAACTCAATGTGTTGTTCTTACGCACATTTTTTATTCACAAGCCAATCTATAGGAGAGGCGTCTCTGAATGGGATAGAGCCATCATTTCTCTTATCTAAGGTGATTGCAAATAACCCTCTATGCCGTAAAGGGAAAAATAACACCTTGAATATTGCTATTCACAAAGACTATACATGTTCTTGAAAATAACTTCGTCTGTTTTGTTCTCGTTTTTGTTCTTGTTAGGCACTTGGATGGCAATCAGATATCTTATATACAAGGTGGATCGTTCCGACATCTTAACAGCCTTCAAGTCCTGTGAGTAGCTTTTCCTTTTACAAAGTATTCCCATTCTTCATTTTTAATAATTACTAAATCGTAGCTATACCTCCTAGACCTTTAAAAAGAAAAATCAAAACCACAAGCAAACCCACAAATAAATCAACATTTATTATCATAATGGAAATTGCTAATTAGTATAGATCAGGGACAAAAATAACGTACAAGAGACACAGTTATACGTGTTTTTGGGTGGGGCAACCCGAAAAATATATGTAAATATTGAATTAATCATTGCGTACCATTACATTTGTCGAGAGCTTCCAATAAACAAATCAATTAAAAAATCGGCCAACGATAAGTAATGTATTAATTAATTAATTTCAACTTTTGAATTAGGAGCGTTCTGCTTCTCAATCAGTTCTGAAAAAGGCGGAACCTAATGTGCGTATGCACTTTTACAACTCTATTGAGTTTGTTAATAATTATCTCAGCGGCGGCGGAACGGTTTAAAACGGGGGGGGGGGGGGCATCACCAAAAAACCAAAAAGGGGAACTTGCTCAGTAAAAGGCATCTTCTGTCGTTGCAGCAGCGTATCCAGCCTTTTGGGTGGCGAATCCGTGCTGAAATGTCGACACGGTTTTTTTCACCGGAACCTAGTCCCCCGTAAAATTAAATGGGGGGGGGGGGGGGGGGGTACCATCTTCTAAGATAGGGGGCGTTCTTCAAAACTGGCCACTCATTATTCAAAACTGCAAACCACTCATTATGAGCCCATTTACAGGGCGAATTGTAAGGGTTTTGGGGCTTAGTTTTCATATTCCTTGTTCAATTCAGAATTATCTGTGCCATTTTGCAAAATGGTTACTGAAAACAAATTATCAGACAAATTCAGGGCAAGGTTGGTTTTCATCTCGAGGGGGTGTAGCATGAATTTAGGTTTTATGAAATACGGACTCATTGGTGATATTGCGCATGCTCATGCATAGATAATTAGGAGGGGGACTGGTCACATATGCTCGAGGGCGCATATTTATGTCCGCAAGAGGGCCACTTGGGTAAAGGGGGGGGGGGCAATTGTCCCCTGACCCCCCCCCCCCCCCCAAACGTTCCGCCGCCCCTGAATGATCTCGACACCACACATTACACCACACATTACTACAATATGTTTAAGTAGAACTACACCATTTATAGCATTTTTTCCCAAACCTTTCTGAACGCCACTAGCTTCATGTTGAAAACATTTTTTTTTTTTGGCTGTCTAAAGGCCTGCAAATGCAAATTAGCAAATTTATCCGTTACAGGAAATTACACTCCTTTCAAATCGTTGGCCAAAAAAAAGAAAAATCTAAATTTTGAAAAGAATGTATTTTTTATCATTCATTCCCATAGACTTCTGGCCAAAAATCGTCTGGAGAGTCTTGATTCAAACACGACTGAGGGTTTACGTGTTGAAGCATCAAAGTAAGTACTCAGTGTTCTTGTTTTACGAATTAAACATGAAAGAGATTTGGCCTAAACAAATTCGCCTCCCATGTTTCTTATCAGCATACAAAAGGTAATACGTAAAGTTAGGATCGGGAATGCCACCTGACAATGTTCCAAGGTAATTTCTGCACGAATCAAACAGTACTTCTGGCAGCTTATTTTATGTAAAATTATTCGATTTCAGAATATGACTGATGACACATAGGCCTAAAGTAAAATGAAGTCACAGTTCTTCCGAGGAAGTTGCAAGAACAAAAATGATGATGTGGTGGTGATGTGGGTATCGAATGTGTTTATACACATTTTAGTGAGTAGTTTATTATTTTTCTTTGAATTGATTAATTAAGGTCGTATATCAGCTTGGCGGACAATAGATTGACCCATTTAAGCCCTTATACGTTCAGTGGAGCGGACGGTCTTGATGGGTACATGTAAGTATACGTCTCTTTATCATGATTTTGTAACAACTGGCTTTGCCATCAGTAAAGTGAAACTGTTCTAAGAAAATGTTTTCCGAAAGAGTCGGCCTTGGAAACTTAAATAGTGCACTCAATTAGGGTTAGTCCATGTGAGGTTTCCTTGACCAAGGCTTAAGGCCATTATTTGTGTTTTACCAGGTTGATTTGATCTATAATAGATAGTCGTGAGGTATGTCTGCAGACACGGTGTTCAGAAACCTCAATATAATTATGCGTGATCATTGGAGCTCATATCAAACTGATAACGATTACGGGGATCAAGAGCCTAAGTGGAATGTCAAACTTCATTTTCAACAATGCAAAATCTAATTATTCTTGTAAACAGAAAAAAACCTGTCGGGACCCAAATCACTAAGACATTTGATTTGCCTAAAAAGAAAAACATTGCTCCATCCGACTAAAACCATGCGGGGACACGGCTGTTAGTGAAATTCGTTCAGTCCAGCAGGTCCAGTTTTTTAACTCTAGTTACCACAGGAAGGACTTTTTCAAACTGTTATGAATTTCAGTCCCTATAGCTCAATTTTGGAAATATTATAATGTTATTGTGGTGTCTTAATATTATTTTATAATTATTAATATGAAGTTTTCTATTAAAAAAAACATTCTGTGTTCTGTTCAGAGAGTTATTTAACAACAGATTGTCTACAATCCCTTCCAAACTCTTCTACGAATATGGCAAGAAAAAAGAGATATATCAAATGTAAGTTAATATTTACCTTTATGTGCACATCAGCAAGACCTGTTAAAGGTACAGTCCATCATTTGTAATATGTAAAAGTAGAGTGCTAAACAACCAACCTGATGAAGTTTTAGCTCAGCTTCAGCTGTTATTTTTATGTTGAAAAAAAAACCATTCTAGAATCTCGATTTCAAATCAAAAGTTGCTGAATCATGTTTTAAATTAGGCCTGAATTCAGCGTCCGAGACTCGTTCTCACTGAGCCGATTCCAGCTACGCGATGTTGCGCACTGATCCGACGAATTAAAGCAACTGCGCGCGCGTGTGCGTCGTATCAACGCTTGCGCGCGCTTCGCCGAATTAAAAAAAAAAGGAACTGCTAACGGAAATCTCCAACGTTACGTCGTTGAAAAGGCCTTATTTGGTTGATTTCTTCAAAAATGACAGCAGGTCGGAAAGAATAATTTCACAGGAAGTTTAATCCCCTTAATACTATCTTTCAACCAGGTATGTTTTTCAAGTATGTTTTTGGATAGCTGCAAATGATGGACTGCAGCTTTAATAGAAATCCATGTAAACATAACAAAGGGAATAAAATGTGTTTGGGAGGTATTATAACACTCTGTTTGAGTCTGGATGGGTGATAATTACCCGAGGCGAAGCCGAGGGTAATCATCCAGACTCCAACCGGTCTTAAACAGAGTGTTTAATACCGACCGAAACACATTTTATTCCCATTCATAATTACCTTTTCGGTCAAAAACCAAATCTGTTCTGTCCAAAAATCAAAAAAAGTCAAAAATAAGACGTTGAACGTTGCCAACCATTTTGTTCAACAATTTTTCTTCATGTTTTACGAAACACCCCTCTTACTTTAATATGGAATGTCCCTCGACTTATGAATTTAAGTATTTATGAATTAATTTTTAAACAGAGGTAGAAGAGAGCTCATGCTACGCACGGCAAGTCCAAAATAAGCATTCTGAAGAGGCAATGGAATAATAATTATAATGTTTTAAGTTGTCAGCTGCGCTAGATATTCTGAACTCACTGTTTCAATGGTTGACTCAAGTGTAATATAGTGTTTTGTAAAAGAAAATGGCAGGGCTGAAGAATGTATATCCTTGAACTATTAGTTGGGATGTCTTATTTGAAGAATTTCCTAGTAAACAATTTCTACTCGGTGGGCACTGAATTGCTGGTTATAATATAACCATATTATGTGAAAGAATGTTTTGTGTTGTTATGTCTTCGCCAAGACAGTGACCTACAATAATAGTCCTTTAATGTTATGTGTCCCCCAAAAAGGGTAGAGCGGAGACAATTTATATAACATCATCGTTTTGAAAAAGTCGGTTGGCCATGTTCCTTTCCCATCGATCGACGCCCATGATGAGCATTACTCTTAATTCCATACAACATCTTCTCGTTTCATAAAACTATCACGTTCTCATGTATTTTTCATTAAATTCAAAGAAATTTCAGCAACAACAACATTTCAGAGATAGCGCCCGATGCTTTCTTAGGAGTGAGCTCCATTGCAAAAATGTAAGTAAACTTTCATTGATACTCACAAACTGTTAGAGCTGTAAAAGTGAGCTTCTATGAGCTCGATACAACGAAATAACTATCTGTGCCTGTCTTGATCTACATATTTTTCTTTACGAATTTTGCACAGAACATTGTGAAAAATATGGACGGCCATTAGGGCAAAAAAGACAATCACAAAATTAAAGTTAAACAGAAATACAATAAAATCAAATGTACAAAATAAACAATAACGTACAATTAACAATGAAAATGTAGGACAACAAAATAAAGAAACCCAAAACAAAACTGAATCGTAAAAAAAATAAAAACACAAATTAAACATAACAAATAAACATTCGTGTTAAATGTACAATAAAACACAAATTAAACTAATCCCAAAATTACTGTGAGTCCCGCGTCGAATGTAAACCCCAAAATTACTGTAAGCCCCACGACGAATGTAAATCCCAAAATTACTGTAAGCCCCGCGATGAATGTATACCCCAAAATTACTGTAAGCCCTGCGACGAATGTATACCCCAAAATTACTGTAAGCCCCGCGTCGAATGTATACCCCAAAATTACTGTAAGCCCCGGCCGCGACGAATGTATACCCCAAAATTACTGTAAGTCCCGTCTCGAATGTAAACCCCAAAATTACTGTAAGCCCCGCGACGAGTGTATACCCCAAAATTACTGTATTAGTCCCGCGACGAATGTATACCCCAAAATTACTGTAAGTCCCGCGACAAAATTGTAAACCCCAAAATTACTTAAAGCGGGGTACCAGTCTACATGGACTGGTATACAACAACCCATCACTGCAGCGTGGCCGCGCTACATAGACTGTACACGTGCAACTTTTGCGTTTATTTGGACGGGGCGTAATCATACACGAAGCCACTATGTTACATGTCAAGTCGGATGGAGGGGACTTTTTTTGGGGGGGGGGGGGCAGCCACCATGATCAATTAATATTGTCAGATTGGAATTTTTTTTCTTTTTTGAGAAGTGATTTATAGCTGAGAACATAGCAAGGATGGACCGATATGTGCAGGCCTAAGTTCAGGGAATAATTTTCATTGCTGGAAAATTCCAAGAAAACTTTCCAATTTGCCGCCGTGAAGTAAAGTTGATTTAACGGGGAATAAAATTGGGTTTTGTTATCAGCATCAGCAGGAGCGTTCCTCTTTCTTTTTACTTTTTGGGAAAGGAGTCAAATGATCTGAGGACCGAAGGCTCTGCGAACTGATGAACATTTTTGACTTTATCTTGCGACCAGCATGGCTATAAGTCTTGTAAGTTGTAGGGGAAAATTCTGTTGATTTACACTGGTATGGATATCGGTACCAGTGTAGGTACATAATGCCTAGAGCGTATTTCAGAGACAAATTTGAAAAACGCGAATGCAACAAAGATCCATCCGACTTGACATGTAACATAGTGGCTTCGTGTATGATTACGCCCCCTCCAAATAAACGCAAAAGTTGCACGTGTACAGTCTATGTAGCGCGGCCACGCTGCAGTGATGGGTTGTTGTATACCAGTCCATGTAGACTGGTACCCCGCTTTAAGTAATTTTGGGGTTTACAATTTTGTCGCGGGACTTACAGTAATTTTGGGGTTTACATTCGTCGCGGGACTAATACAGTAATTTTGGGGTATACATTCGTCGCGGCCGGGACTTACAGTAATGGGTATACATTCGACGCGGGACTTACAGTAATTTTGGGGTTTACATTCGTCGCGGGACTAATACAGTAATTTTGGGGTATACATTCGTCGCGGCCGGGACTTACAGTAATGGGTATACATTCGACGCGGGACTTACAGTAATTTTGGGATATATACATTCGTCGCGGGGCTTACAGTAATTTTGGGGTATACATTCGTTGCGGCCGGGACTTACTGTGATTTTGGGGCATACATTCCACGCGGGACTTACAGTAATTTTAGGGTATACATTCGTCGCGGGGCTTACAGTAATTTTGGGGTTAACATTCGTGGCGATACTTACAGTAATTTTGGGGTTTACATTCTTCGCGGGGCTTACAGTAATGTTGGGTTTAGTTTAATTTGTGTTTTATTGTACATTTAACACGAATGTTTTATTTTTTATGTTAATTTTTTTTAATTTTTTACGTTTCAATTTTGTTTTGTTGTCCTACATTTTCATTGTTAATTGTACGTTATTGTTTGGTTTTTTTTGCATTTTATTTATTTTATTTTTGCTAAACTTTAATTTTGTGATTGTCTTTTTTGCCCTAATGGCCGCCCATAGAAAAAGACCTCTCATGTGATTTAGGCTTTTGGCTATTAGTTATGTCACAAAAGCTATTTCAATGGAACATGTATATGCGAGTTATTTTAGGCGATGTTTAGTTCAATGATATATGCCTCCAAATGGAGTACAACTCTAATGGAAAGACGGGCTTAATATAAAAATAAATCTCACAATTTTGACAATCAAAGGAATTGTTCGAGTAACTCAAGTCACTGCAGATTAATTAAAACACTTCTTTTCTCTTGCAGACATTTGAGTATCAATAAGATATCGTCACTTCCCGAGGACTTGTTTGACAACATAACGATACTTCGCACGTTGTAAGTGAGAACCAAAGCTGATGGCAGACGTATCTATGATATAGCACAATTCGGACGGTGACCAAATAGTTTGAATTCTGTTCAAACATACAGCAGCATTTCGTAGTTGGATATCATGACAACAACTGCCACTTGTTGAAT